CCTTTTCCGTGGACCGGCCGAGAGGCCGTGGGGAAGTCCCGAGCCTCTGGGCAGAGCGCTGCACGCATCCGTTTGTTGCTGCACATTTTCAAAGTGATCAGTTTGGAGCAGGTCCCAGTGCCCAGGCTTGCATCATCCAGACTTTGGCACAGGACGGCCAATCCCCAAAACTTTTTAAACCTGAAAATTATCTACCTCCAGAACACTAAGATTGAAACTTTACAGATGAGTGTGCACAGACAGACATAAAAAAATTCACAAAAGCAAGAGTTGCGCGAAGCTGGAGGGTTCCCAGGGTTGTCTTCTCTCTAATTGTTCCGTCAATACCGAGGCAGCCGAAGGAGCTGCCCATCAGCCCCAGGCACTGCCGGCCTCTGCGCACTTCATCTCCATGGCAACAACCTAACAAGTGGCCTCTATTCCCATCTTACCAGCAAGGAAACCCGGGATCAGAGATGCTAAATGACTTGCCCAAAGTCACACAGCTCCCAAGCAGCAGAGCGGGACCAGGGCTGGGCAGCAAGGGCGCTGAGTCTGCCGCCTCTTCAGCTTCTGCCCCAAAGCACAAAGATTTAGCCCGGGGGGTGGGTGGGGTATAAATCGAAGCCCATGGCCTGCATGGGGGCTGCAGAGGAGAACTAGACCATGTTCACTACCCTCCTGAAGATTTACAGTTGAGAACAGGAAAGGATCAGAACAATGTGGGAACTTTGGAATTTGAAACAATCATAACAATATGTTTGAGGAAAGTTTTGATGAGGCAGAAAAATGCCCCTTACAAACATTACAAAAGATGGGGGTGAATTCAGAACCGCACACACGGTTTTGCAAAGCGGCCCACTTCTATAGACATGAGGAATGCAGTGACCCAGGCAGTGCAGGGGGGAGCCCCCAAGGGGAGGGTTTTCCACACTCTCTGCTTTCTCCTTCGTGTTTCCTGTTTTCTGTATTTTTTAATTCATGATCAAACCTGCAGTGTGTTTTGGGGTTTTTTTTTTTTTTTAATATATTTTAAGGTAGCTTGTTACTGAAAAAAAAAATCCTGATTATTTGGTAAAGCAAGTAACATCTAATTCATACATTTTATGTAAAGCCCTGTGTTTCAGAACCCCAGGGTTTCAGTGGACCCTTGGAAGCCAGAAAGAAGCCACATGCCTTGGGGCTCCCCTGTGCCTGGCATAGGGCTCTGGCTCTGTTGGGGGGCAGGCAATAAGGTGGACAGAGCAGGCCACGTTCCTCCTCCTTCCTTCAAAAAAGGCCTCAAATTCTGAGGGCGGCTTTGACGTGCAATGGGTGTTCAACATGTGGGTGTTCAAGAGTGGAAAGGGACGCGTGCGAAAGGGGGCTGGTGATGGGGTTGCAATTGTGCAGACAGAGGCGGGCTACAGGCGGGCAGCAGGGATGGCAGGCATCGGGGTGGAATTATGAGTCATTGTTTTCTTTTACTTAATTTCTCTAGCTGTAAATTTTTCAAAACTAATATAAGCATATTTTACAGCTGACATAACATTTAGAACATATTAAAATAAGCATCTTGCCACTCTGATGTGCCCGATTGAAATTTATGAATTCCAAGGCTACACTTTAAGCAGAGCAAGGAACTGGCGTGCCACATCTCTTAGATTAATCAGATGGATTGTGTTGTTTTTCTCCTGATCAGAAAAGAAATCATCTTTCTGTAAATGTTACCTTGAATCAAGGATTCTCCCATATTCTAGAAGCTTGGGTGAGCAGTCTTACTGTGCCCCCAAGTGGCAAATAGGGTTTATGCATGTAAAAAAAAAATCCATCCTTTCCAGAAGACTGGAAATAAAATCCAAAAAAAGGTTTTAATCCTTATTGATGCGGTAACAAGTACAAAATTTCATGCCAGGTGCAACAGAGACTATTAAAATGGGTCTGGCACCATCCTCGTGCTCAGAGAGATTAAAATCTACAAAGTGAAACAGAAGCCACTGCCGGGGAAGGGTGAAAAATCCTAGGGAGAGCAAGAACGTGAACACACTGTAAGTGCCCACTATGCACTAGGCACGGCAGTAGGCAATTCACATGCAACAGCATTTTTTTTTTAAGATTCATTTTATTTATACAAGAGCTGGGGTACAGGCCAGAGGCGCGGGAGGGTTAGAGGATTCACCAGAGACAGTGGGGGGCAGAACAGGCAGATGGACCAAAAACACTGCTGAGGGGAGCAGTAGGCGAGACAGGAGAGGTCTGCCACACCATGTGGGTATCTCCCTGGCCAGCCAGTAATCAAACCGGTGCTAAGAGGCTGCGGACAGCTTCACAGCGCTGCACTCAAACCACTGTGCCATAGGGGAGGCCCGGCATTTATTTTTCAAGAAAGCCCAGCAAGGGCCTCCCTGGTGGCGCAGAGGTAAAAGTCAGTGCTATCAAGCTGTCACAGCCACTGCAGCATGAGTTCAATACCCAGCCAGGAGCTACCCACAGGGCACAGCAGACCTCTCCTGTCTCGCCCCTGCTCCCCTCAGCAGTGTGTTTCAGTGGATCCGCCTGCTCTGCTCCCCACCCTGTCTCTGGTGAGTCCTCTCACCCCCTATACCTCTGACCTAGCCCCCAGTTCTTGTATGCATAAATAAATAAAAATAAATCTTTAAAAAAAAAAAAAAGTCCAGCAAGGCTTTCTGCTTCATATACACTGGTTGAGGCTCAGGGAAGTTAAGTTACTGACCTGAGGTCACACAGCCTGTCAGCTGCAGAGTAGGGACTCAAACTCAAACCTCGTGACCACTTCTTTCCTTCCTAATCATTGGGGAGCAAAAAAGCACCCTGGGGGGCTTTAATCAAAAGACAAAGGCACACAGAGTTAAAGAGTGGGGGTGCCTGCCCCCTCCACCTCTCATAACTCATCCCATACTGCACCGCCACCTGCTCACTCTCCTCCCAGGGCTGTGGCAAGTCAGGTCCACTTCAGGCTCGCCGTCCCCCCACACCACATACCAGGTCACAAGACCCCGAAACCTAACTCACTGCCCACCTCTGCTCCAGGCAGGGAAAGGAACACCAGGGACTGCCAGGTACCTGCCAGGCTACACACAAACCAGAGGCCCACACACCCTAGGCCTCAGCCAGGACTTCCCTCCCTGCCACCAGCGAGGTCCCCATCCAGTCCCCAATCTCTGCCCATCCGGCGCCTTCAACCCCTGCCACATATTCTTCACACTGAAAAGTTGCTCAAAATCAATTCACCCAAAACCAATTTGCCAAATAACTGTCACTGAAAACCATCAAATTTCTTCAAGCCAAGAGGCTCTGAAACACCTGTCTGCACCTGGGCTTATAAAAGCCCTGATTTTCCAGACGCCACAGTGAGAAGGGGGTCAGGACATGCTGGCCCAGCAGCCCCCAGAAGACCACCTCCAACACCCCCTGCAGCCTCAAGAAGGGTAGAGCACAGTGATCAGGGCTCCCCCCAGGTCTGCGAGGAGCCCACGTCGCCTGCAGCATGCACGCCTCCTTGGGCACAAGCACTGCATCCCAGCCCCCGTCAGTGCCTCGCCCCTGGCAGGGTTTTCCAAGGACAGTCCTGGCTGAGCCTCTCCTCCCAGGCTGGGCCAACTGCGCCCTCTTCTGGCCATGAGGTGTCATGGCCCCTTGGCTGCTCCCTGCATCCCCAGAGCCCAGTGCCCACACGGAACACCCAACCACACCACGAACACTGCAAGATTGGACAAACACCAAGGCCCAGGCCAAGGGTTCATTCTGGTGAACCTATCACAGAGGCTTCTGCTTAGAAAATCTAAACTTCCCAGGCAAAAGTGATCCGAGGGGGGCCCAGAGCACACCTCTCTGAGGCCAGGGACAAATCAGTCACCAGGGGCTCCGGGCCTGCCCTCACCACCAGGAGAGCAGAGGCACCTGCTGGACCCACATCCTCCCCCATCTCTTCCCACAGCATCTAGCCTGTCCTCCCGCAGGCCTGCTGCCCCTCTAGCCTCTGATGTCAGGACCCCCCAGGTCCAAGCATGGGGCTGCAGTGACCCTCAGGTGCCCTCCACAAACCCCCGTGGGCTGCATGAGATGGCGCGCTTTGACATGCAGCAGCCAGCGCGGGTGCCCCAAAAGCCCCAGCAATGGGTCTCCTCAGCTGGTTTTGGCAAGGAGGTTCTGAGAGGTTAAGGGCCTCGCCCAAGGTCACAAAATGTTGGGGACAGAGTGGCTCAAGTCCAGCTGTGCCTGTCCACTGTGGGCCACAGCCCAGGGCCAGCATCGTGAGAGGCTGGACGTGAGGTTGCCCTGCTGGCAGGTGGGCTCCCCAAGAAGGGACCTGGTAGGGTTCATTACACTCCACTTCCCCACACCTGGAGCTGGCCCTTAATGAGCCAGAGTCCCACACCCCTCTGCTGACTAGAGGGCCCAATGGGGACACTCACCAGAGAATGACTTTCTGACACTCTCTCTCTCCTCCAAGCGAGAAGAAAGGGAGGGAGGAGAGGGCACCTGGGGCAGGGAAGGGCAAAAGCACAGGCCTGGAGGGCTGAGGATACCACTCAGACCCCAGGGCAGGCAGCCACTGCCAGCCTTACACGGCCCTCACAGCACCCAGACACTGCTGGATGGTCGTCCTGGGCCCAGGGCTGTGAGGCCCCTACTTGGCTGTGCAATCCAGCAGCCAGGGCCAGCTCAATCTACCTCTGACCTCCACACCCACACAGCACTGGGCACAGGGCTGCTGTCAGTCAAGGCTCGTCAGGGCTCACAGAGACACCCCTCAGATCCTGGGGCCAGGCCTGCTTTCCTCTCCTCAAAGCCCTGCTGGGTGACCACAAGGATAAGGACCAGCACCCTAAGAACCTGCACCCTCTGGTGGCTAGAAGGGAAGATGGGGCAGAACAGCCCACTGATTCAGGGCAGACCACCAAGAGTCCACTCCTGAATGCAACCAAGGAAAAGACAGAAACCCACAGAAAGAAGTGTTCAGCTCACTGCTCTGAAAAGCCAACATCGGCAGTTTGAGGAGAGGGTCCCGCCGGTCTTACCTTGAAGGTCTTGTCCATGGAAGTTGAGAGGAGCATGTGACTCTTAGAAAGCACGGGACACCACTGAATGCTGTTGACGGGGCCCCTATGGCCCCGTAAGTGGAAAAGTACCCTCTTGGAAATCACAGTTTCTTTATACGGACTATCCAGATATGGCTGGATAAACTCTGACGCTCTGGTGGGCACGGAGAGAGGGGCGGGGGCCCGGACACGCCCTGCAGAGGAGCCCTGGGCCTCCGCATCTTTCCTCTTGCCCGTTTCCATGCTGAATGCTTGCAACTGCCTTAGTCTTTTGGGGGTGTAGGGCACGATGCAGTCCTCACACCTTTTCCTCTGAGAAGAGCTGACATGTTTCCCTGGGGGTTCAAATTTGGTTTGAGCACAGATCGAAGGCTCCATTTCCGGGGGGAGTTTGACAGGCTTAAAGCGGGCAGCTGCTGGGGGCACATGGGCAGCCGGAGGGTAGCCAGCCCACAGAGAGGGGCGCGCAGGCTCGTGGTGGGAGAGGATACGTTCAGGCTCTGTCCTGGGCCACTGCAGCCTCTGGCTGGGGCAGGACCCTGGGTCGATCCGCCCCAATCGAGCTAAGGGGAGGCGAAGATCCCGGTCCACGGGGTCCTCACTGGAAGCAGGCTTCATGGGCAGTGCCCCCTCGTCTGTCACGTCCAGGACGCCAATTGCAGGATCTTCCCTAAGAGGCTGCACCCCCTCCCAAGTGTCTGTCATCTGGTCAACAGCATCGAAACCTCCCGCAGGCGCAGGCTCAGGCTCAGCCTCCGAATCCGAGTCCTCATAGGCCACCAAGGAAGCCATTGCAGTAACAGTTTCCCACCGTCCTTGAGGAGCAACGAACTTCCTAAGATCAGACAAAGTCCACTGTCAGAAAGCGCGCCCGGAAGAACAGTCACCCCCCTACGCGGCTGAGCACAAGCCACCAGGCAGCCCACGACTGTGAGGAAAACGCATGAAATAAGGGCTTTTCTACACATGGGCAGTCGGTCAGACATGACTATCAGAAGTGAGGGCTGTGGAGGCTCTGAGAAGAAATGCAACAATAACATAAGCAAGACCCACCGGAGAAAACGAAAACTTTGTCGAAAGACCTAGATGAGGATCTCACTTACTGGAAATAGATTTTATAGGGATTTTAAAAATGACTTTTGAAAAGTCAATCTGGGCAGTAACTATTACAAGTTTAAACAGATAGTTTTTATTGCAACAAGCCCACGTGAGAACTCTGTCCTACACAAATACCAGCAGATGTTTGCACAGATAGAAAGGAAGCGCCGGCAGCACTGTTTATCAGCATGAATGGGAGGAACCCACGCTCACCAACGTGAATGGGCTTGGGGCTGAAAATACTGCAAGAAAAATGTCAGAATCTACCCAGTGGGAAAAGCAAGCTAGCCTCGCCCTTCCTTCGATGCCTCTGTCTAGAAGTTCTCCCCAGATATTCATCTCGATATAACCCAGTCGAAGAGACGGGCCACTGTCGATAACGCAAGGCCAAGGCGCCTGAGACACCAATTCTGAGTGTGTGCCCAAATCTGCCCATTTCAATCCATTCACAAAGAAGTGAATTTCCCCTCCCTTAAAAAAGAATTCTTCCTGGAATTCTGAACCATCATCCATGATAAGTTGTTGTCAACTAGGATTCAGAAAATGCTTCAGGCCTCCCTGGTGGCGCAGGCAGTTGAGTGCAGCACTGTGAAGCTCTGCAGTGCCAGTTCGAACCCCGCCGGCCTTGGAGCAACCCACATGGTGAGCAAACCTCTCCTGTCTCGCCCGCTGCTCCCCTCAGCAGTGTATTTTGTCAGTCTGCCTGTTCTGTTTCCCACTGTCTCTGGTGAGTCCTCTCACCCTCCCACACATCTGGCCTGTACCCCGGCTCTTGTATAAATAAAATAAATCTTTAAAAAAAAAAAAAAGTGCTTCAGTCTGGAGTTCAAGATGCACCACTAAGACCAAGGCCGTCAGGAGGAAAGCAAGGCTGCCGGACATGGCCCCGACAGCAGAGGGCGTGGTGGAGCACCGCCTAAGAAAGCTTAGGCAGCAGACCAGCTTCTGAGGAAACCCAGGATGCCCTCCCTTCTGGATAAACCTCCTCAAGCTCCTCCTCTTCTTTTTTTTTTTTTTTTAAATTTATTCATTTATGCATACAAGAACTGGGGTACAGGCCAGAGGTGCAGGGGGTGAGAGGATTCACCACAGACAGAGTGGGGAACAGAACAGGCAGACAGTGAAATACACTGCTGAGGGGAGCAGCCGGAAGACAGGCGAGATCTGCCTCACCATGTGGTTTGCTCCCTGGGTGGCCAGGGATCGACCTCGTGCTGCAGAGGCTGCAGATTGCTTATAGTGCGGTGCTTAACCCTTTGTGCCACCAGGGAGGACCTTGTGGGGAGGGGAGGGGAGATCAGGTCAGCACCAGAAGCTTCCCAGTGGGTCCTCTGTTAAATCATTCCAGGCGGCTTACCACCCATCTCCTCCCTGGAATTAACTCCGCCACCCTTTCCACACCTTTGCCTGGAAGGCTCCTCTGCCACCCAAGTTGGGCTGTCGTATGAGAAATGGCTGACGTTGGCCTCCTGCCATAACCCACTCCCATGTGCAGCCTCATCCAGGCAGCTAATGCCTCCCAAAAAGTTATCATCCACACAGACCTTCTCTACGGCTGGACAGGCTCAAGTGGAACTAATGTGATGGGTCATATAAACTGATGCACAGCGAATAACCCAGCATTTCTGTTCTCTAAATAACTGGCCTGGCTCCGAAGCCCATCCTGAACACACATCTCACCTGTCTCGACTCCTAAGCACAGCACCAGCCATCTCATTCCTTCCTGTCAAAGGCACCCACCAAGATACCACCACCAGGGCACCTGTGCCCAGCTGTGAGGAGGGGTTCCCACCCAGCCAACAGTCCACAGTGGTTGACGCACAGGAGAGGCCGATGGCCAGAACTAAAGACAAGGTCTATGGCCAAAGATCAGACAGCAGTGGGAGTCGGGCCCCTTGGCCCACTCCCTGACCAGGCAAGTCAGCTAGGACCCAATGAGTGCAGGAGGGTGACAGGCACCCATACAATCTGCTTCATGCACATTTCATTCACTCATCCAACCAACACTGATGGGGTCAGTCGCCAAGCCCCGGGTTCCAGGCAGCAGGAGCCCCACAGCCGGCCAGACCAGACGTGCGAGCACCATGCTCCTGTGCCAGTGGGGAGAGACAGTGACTGGAAGTGGAGCATGTTGGGTAAGGGTGCTGGTGGGCTTGGGGCTGCAGTTTTCATACAGGAGGCCAAGGCAGGCCTGAGAGAAAAGGTGCCATCTGGGCAATTCCCCGGGGGAGTGAGGGATCCGAGGTGGGGCGACATGCTGAAGACTAAACCAACAGAACAAATGAAATGGGAGAGAAGGTCAGGATGATTCCAGATCAACAGGCAGCCACGGAGAAGACGGAGCCACTGGGCACAACATAAACTTTGGGGCAAAGTGCCACCTTTTATGTTTCTAAGGGGAAGGAAAACGTTTCAGGACAGAGCTGGGTGATTAGTAGGAAGAGGCCCCGAAGATGGAAGGTAAAAGTCCTGGAGAAGTGAGTCTAGGGAAGGGGGCAAGTGGCAGGTCCAGAGGGCTGGGCTCTTTGTGCGTGTTTTGGCCCCTGATCAATCCCAGCATCTAGAAATAGTTGTGAAAAGCAACCTGGGGGTGGGGGGGGGGAAATGTGTGTGGAGGGGGTGTCCTTGGGGAGATGGGAGCACAGAGAAAGTCAAAGAAACAGGATCTTCTCCCTCAGCGAACGTCTCCTGATCCCCCACTCTGTGCCAGCCTTAGGGTGGGCAGAGATTAAACACAAAACGCGGGTCCTGCGCCTGGGGCCACGGACGGAGGGAGGGGACACACGAGACACGACCAGAGATGGGTTTTGAAGGATGAATAGGAGTCGGCCGAGCGGCAGGAGCGGGCGCGAAGGGTGATCCGGGCGAGCGTGCCCCTGCGCGTTCGGAAGGAACCTGAGGTGACGGAGAGTCGAGCGGCGCGGAGCTCCCGGCCGCTCCCGGGCCCCAGCCCCTCTCGACCCCGGCCCGCCGCTCACCACACGCACCGGAAGCGCTCGGTCCTCCCGGCGGCCGGCGACCCGCGCTCCGCCGCCCAGTCGCGTTCCGCCGGCGCCGGGGCCGCCAGCCAATCAGCGGCGCCCTCCGCCCCGCCCCCACGGGAAGGGCCAATGAGGGCGCGGCCGGGCCGGAAGTCGCTCCGGCCGGACGGCGTTTCCACGGACGCCGAGGAGGCTGAGCCGGCGTGCGGACGGGCCCGGCGCGGCCGGGTGAGTGAGCGGGGAAGGCCGGGGGGGAGCCCGGGCGGCGCCGCCCGACCAGCAGGGTCTCGAGTAGCCGCCTCAGAGGCCGGCGCGCTGCCTCCGGGTCGTGGCTCCACGAGGGGCCCCCCTCGTCCCCCGACCCCCCAGCGCGCCGGCCCGGCCTTCGGCGTCCCGCGTGTCCCCCTCCCGGGGAAAGGCCCCCCTTGTACGAGTGTCCGCCCCGGGCCAGGGACCTGGCCTGTGGTGTGACACTTTGTCCCCCGCACGGCAGTTAGGAGCGTCGTTGTGGCCACTTCACGGAGGAGGAAACCGGGGGGCGGCGGGGGGGTCACGCCGACCCCCCCGGGTTCTTGAAACTAAACGTCCAAGCGGGGCTGAGCCCGGGTCTCTCTGACCTCAGAGCTTAGGGTCTTGCAGGGCGCCCTGCCCTTCAGTGGCCACCGCAGGGAATTTCCAATCTGCCTCTTCACCCCGTGACTTGACATAAACGTGGTATTCATCCTGGTGCTGAGGGCGTGGAGGTGACTTGGAGGCCAGCTGGGGAGCGGGGGCTGATGCAACGACCTGCCAATATTTCCTTTCTGAAAAGGGTTTCGTTGGTCCCCACCCAGCCATCTCCGATTGGACAGTCTCAGCGGGGATGCTGGACGGGAGGCTGTAGTGCTGCTGAGAACCTGGGTGATTTCTAAGAAACGCCTAGATGCAAGTTGCCGCATGGGGGGCGGGACAGGAAACAAAGGGGAAGAAAGTTTCCTTTTAAGGAAACCTTTAAGAGAAAGGGAAAGCCTATTAAAGAAGACTACTGGCTGCACAGGGCAATCTGAGCTACTGGAGGCCAGAGTGACCAGTGGGCTGCGGTCTCTCCGGGAGCTGGGTATGTATTGCTTCCTTTGGCGGGCTTAGTGTGGGTGTTTTTACTGGCCTGTCACCAAAGTGCTGGAGACTGGTTTAGGGAGGCAGGGCTGGTCTCTTTTAGGATCAGAGCGCAGTATATTTTATTTCATCTCATTGACCCAGAGTTCAGGGAATACAGCTTCTCTGGATGAGCAGTTGCTGGCTTGTATTCATAGCTTGTGTTCAGCACCTCAGGCTGGTTGTCATTTTTACTGATAAGGCCTTCTTAAACACCCAAATATACTAGCATTCTCGTTGTGATATGCAGAAATATCTTATGCTGGCTTCAAATAATGTCTTTTTTTTTTTTAAAGATTTATCCATTTATTTATACAAGCACTGGGTACAGTCAGAAGTGCGGGAGGGTGAGAGAATTCACCAGAGCCAGAGGGGAGAGCAGAGCAGGCAGACTGATGAAGTACACTGCTGAGGGGAGCAGCGGGCAGCAGGAGAGGTCTGCGCGCCATGTGGGACCCTCACGCTGGCGGTCGGAGATTGAACCGGCGCTGCAGAGGCTGTTGGCAGCTTCGCAACCCAGCTCTCAACCACTGCGCCACCGGGGAAGCCCCAAATAATGTCTTCTTTGCCTTTTAAGATAATGTTCCCTTTATTATGTGGAGAGGAAAATAAACTTAGCGCTGTTTAAAGAAGAAAGTGAAGAAGGTCTGTTACAAGGTTTAAAGTGTAAAGAACTCTTGGCTTTAAGCAAGTCACTTTCTTTTCCTCTGGGAACTTGACAATCCAAGGCCTTTGTCACCCACATCCTGAGACCAGGATGTAAGGATAGCATCCCACCTCCTGGTGGTATTCCAAGCATCCAGAAACCCCTGGGCTTCCTGCTTTCCCCATTTGCTCCAGAGTAAGCTCTCCATTCTTCCCCCAAATTGCAGAATCCAGATATTCCTACTTTCTCAGTGAGTTGGTTTGGGTATGCCCAAGTCAGTCATGTGCTGTTAAATAGTTCTGTGATTCTCCTTTGTATTCCTCAACCCGACACTGTGCCTGTTTCTTCAAGTGTCTGTTCTGCTGTACCAGAACAATAGAGGCTTTCAAAATGAACACGAGATTCAAGTTGATTATAAGGAGGAATTGAGAGCTAAATTTTAGGAGGTTTTTTGGCTTTCTCTTTGAAGGTGGGCTGTGATCTGATGTGGAGCTTGCAGTTTTGCTCTTTACATTCCAAACACTTTTGCTTAGAGGAGATAATAGATTACTTCACAGGTTATTGCTTCATTTCCTATTTTAGATTGTTGTATTTATTAAATAAGTAAAACAGTTTTTCTTAACAAAGATTCAAAGCCCTAGTGGCAGTTGATGCAGTGAACACAGAGGATAGTGGGCCCCAACCTTTTCACATCCAGACCCTGTGAAGAAGTATGAGGACCGGAACCACCGCTCAGAACATGCTCACAAAGTGCGTGCAGACTGTGGTTGTGATTTCAGAAGTTCTCTGAGGTTAAGCTTAATTATAATTGTTAACAAAGAAATAAAGGCAGATGTTGATTAGATGAGAGAAAAAAAGGAAAAATACCCATAGTAAATGCAGGTGAGTGGACCGATGGGTGAATGAGAAAGGTGACAGTTAATTCTGTTCTTCTTGGTCCTGGTCACTCCTGAAGTGACTCCTCTAATCCCTCAAGAAGTTGCATCATACACACACACACGCACACACACACACAGAGAGATTTACATTGTAGACACTTCCTACGCAGATAGCACATCTCTCACAAGCATGAGTGCAGGGAGATCTCATCTGCTGTTCCCGCCATCAGATTTAGTTACCAGGTCTCTCTTCTTAAGTGGGCTTCTGATATTTAAAGGTATATGGTTTTCCCTACAACATGGCTCCTCAGTGAAGGCCCCATTTGTCTAGCTGATCCTCCATACTTCCTCACACCACTGCAAGAGGAGTGTCCAGGCAGGGCTCACCCAGGCATTCCACTTGGCACTCTCCCTAGGAATGTTTAAGGGTGATTTAACTCTGTCCTTGACTTTGCGCCTCCTCACAGACTTCAGAACCTTACTGCTCCTGCCTATGCCCTTTCCTACAGGAAACCACCTTTTTTGGAAGGACAGGGGTAAACTGAAGGGAATTCTCAAGAGTAAATAGGGTGGTGGGTGGGTGTTAGCCATAGGTGAAGGAACCAAACTGGGGGTGTGAGAACACACTATGGGATCAACACAGGCCCTCCCAAATCTCAGAGGCTTGGCACAGCGTCTGCAGGCTGCCTAACATCAGGGGGTGTTAAACTGAACAAACTTACACCAAGACAGCGGAGAATGGGGCCTCCCTGGTGGCGCAGGGGTTAAGACACAACCCAGGAAGCAATCCGCAGCCTCTGCAGCATGAGTTCAATCCTCGGCCAGCCAGGAAGCAATCCACATGGCCCAGCAGACCTCTCCTGTCTCGCCTGCTGCTCCCCTCAGCAGTATACTTTGGTCAGTCTGCCTGTTCTGTTCCCCACTCTGTCTCTGGTGAATCCAATTGCTAGGGGGAAAGGATGTCCTGAGCCAATTCCATACAGGCTTTGTGGACTCCACCCCCCACTCCAAACCAAAGTCATCAAGACATTAGGAAAGACAAATCCCATCACCACCAAAGGGAAGGTGGCTGGGACCTGGGGATGGAGTTAAGCAGCCAGGTTTGGCGCTCGCTCTCTCTCTCTCTCTCTCTCTCTCTCTCTCTCTCTCTCTCTCTCCCTCCCCCCCCTCCTGGCTTCACGGCTGGTGACTCTTGGCCAGCTCTCAGAGTGCCATTTGGGATTCCAGGTCAGTGGATCGGGTAGGATGCATTTAAGACTCAATCTCCCACTTTTCTCCTTGAGTTGTACATTTCCTCATTTGCCCTTCCCTAGTAAATAAACCTTTTATTAACCTTTTGTGTGTGCCTGCAGTAGAGTATTAATAAGTCCCTTTAAGCACGTGGGTGAGGACCCACAGTCAGGTACCCCGTTCTGTATCGGGGCTGCCCTGTAACAGTTTGGCGTCCAATGTGGTTTCCAAGTTACACCAGCGGTTGACCAGCCCAAAGTAACTTTCCTTGCGTTGGTCACCATAAGCACACTAGGTCTGCAGGACTCACAGTATAATCTTTGTCTCAAGTCCTGGAAAGTCTGCTTTTTTCCTGTGCGTACAGCTCTTGTGATTTTGACCCAAATATGGCCTCAACCATGAGCTTACACAGTTTTATCCCTAGCTTGAGTTCTTTCAGTTCTCTTCCTGCCTTGAATTTGAGTAGCCTTTTTCCATTAAATATTACCACCAGTTTCATAAATGTAAATAATTTGATGAAACCTGGTGTATCGCACATGATTTTACTACTGTATACATACATGGGTGGTTTACAAACCATCCCTTTACAGTCTGTGCTTCTGAGTGGTTTTTTGGTAATATGTGTAAGCGCCATTTGCTACATTCTTGGTTCTGTGAGAGGTAGCTGATCTACTTCGCATACTGAGAATGTGCAACAACACATTCAGGCTCTTAGCCATGCAACAACAAATTCAGGCTCTTGATTTAACTATTAAGTGAATGAAGGATGAAAACTGTAACATTTTTGAGTCAGCTTTTAAAAGCATACAGGATCTAGCTTTTAAAAGTATGCAGGACCAGATACAGGCCGCCCTCCATAAATTGAATATGGCGGAGGCTCGGCTAATGGCACAGAGAAAGGATAAACCTTACCCTTCCCATGGGACAGCCAGAGGGCAGAGTTAGAAGAGGAGGAGCATCATATGTTAAATATCTTAAATACATCAGGACATAAGTCCTTCTCCATGTGACAAGGCCTCTCCCACGCAGACTCCTGAGGCTTCACAGCCTCCACTACCCTGTGGGGAGGACACTAAAATGGTGTCTCCTCCCCACACTAGAAGCGACACCCATTTTGGCAGGAAGGATCACCCTGAGGCAGGACAGTTTCCTTTTCGCCAGATGCCAATAGGGGGCTGCCCTGTAACACTCACCCCTGCATCTCTGGCCTGTACCCCAGTTCTTGTATACATAAATAAATCTTTAAAAAACAAAAATGGACAGGGGAGAATGGAAATTTAGAGGAAAAGTTGAACTAGATGACTTGTGGATTCATTCTCAGTAAACGCTGCTGATAGACTGGAGTGTGCCAGGTATCTAGGAGCACATGAAAGAATGACACTGGCACTTGCTTTCGTCACGCACTGGAGGACATACCCAGCTGAATGCAGGGTGAGTGCCCTGACGAAGTGACTGGCCCAATGCTCGCCATCAGAGGACAGGGCCACCAGCGTGGTCCCAGGGTCTGGAAAAACTGCAAAGAGGAGCTGAGGTTTGCAGTAGCAGATCTCCAACAGCATGCAGGCAGAAGGGTGTGAGACACTGCGGGCAGGGGGAGCCTGACAGAGCACAGATGGGAGGTCCTTTGGCATCAGCTTCTGGTTTAACTGCTTGTCAGGTTGTTCTGACTCGCCTGAACCATCAGCCAGGAGGCCACTGGTACACAGCACACCCTGTAACGCCCAGCTTTGGGGGTGTCAGGAGAATCGGTTGGTGTGAAAAGAATTGGACTGGATGTTTGACCATTTGTCAATAGAAGTAATTTTCCTCACTTTGTTTTTTGATAAGAAGCTGAGTGTCTCTCCTCTCTAGCACAGGTCAGAAGGTTCTTCTGCATTCCAGGCCTCCTAAGCTGTGAGCTTTGTTATCTAACTCAGTTATCTCACTGAACTTCCCTTTCTGGGAATCAGGGTGGTTCTCAGCAAGACGAAACTGGCTGCTGTCCCACCCCGGCTCCGGTACTATGCTTACATTGACTTAACTGCTCTGGTTTAGCTTTACATGGCTTTTAAACAAATGGGTAAATAAATCACTCCTTAAAAATGGTGTTTGGTTCAGAGTTACTAGAATTTTTCTTTTTTTTTAAAGATTTGTTTATTTATGGATACAAGAACTGGGATACAGGCCAGAGACATGTGGTGTGTAAGAGGACCCACCAGAGGCAGAGAGGGGAGCAGAGGGGAGACAGGAGAGGTCTGCTGCACTATGTGCACAGCTCCCTGGCCGGGGAGCAAACTCATGCTGCCGAGGCTGCAGATAGCTGCGCAGTGCTGTGCTTAGCCCGTTGCGCCACCAGGAAGGCCCTAGAATTCTTAATGAGTAAAGAAGTAGTCGTAGGCGGAGGCCACACTCGTTGTCTTACTGCGCCAGCACGCTTGCCCCTGAGCCAGCCTGCGTGTCGGCCGGTGCCTCCTGTTGTACAGCCAGGGCTGAGGCTCGTGACTGTTTGTCACCTGGAGAAAGATGAGTGAGAGTCTGGCTCTGGGGCCAAACTGCTTGGGTTTGTATCCTGTCTCTGGAACTGGCGTCTTCTCTTGGGCATGATTTTTAGCCTTTCTGTGCCTCTCTGGGTTAACTCCTCTACAAAACGGCGATAACAAGTCTACTTCCCAGAGTTGCTGTAACCCTCGAGTGAATCGGTGTGTGTAGGGGCTTAGAGCCTCCCCGGTGTGGGCCTGCTGGAAGGTGGCCTCCTCGCCACCTGTCTGGGGAGCACATTAAAATGGAACCATTTTTATGGATGAGGAAGCTGACCCAAGAGGGGACCTGTCTCTGCCCCCAGACTGTCCCAGGTCCTGCCTGGGCCCACTCCATCCTCCAGGAGGACAGGAAGTAGTGACTAATGTGCAGGCACACCTTGAAGGCGTGGCGGGAGAGACGGCAGCATGCGGAACAGGCAGGCTATATTCGGAACCTGGTATGATAAGGGCCCCCCACCGCGACCTCTCCACCTGGGAACCGAGCAGCTGGCCAGCATGGCCTGTTTGCCCAGTGAAAGGTTCGTTACGGCTGCAAACATCTGGCAGTTCGTCCCCAGTGAAATTAAGATACAAAGAGTAAATAGCAGTTTGCCAAACATTTTAGCCCCTTGGTGTTTGCTCCCTGGGCAAAACATGGGTCCCGCTGGTACCCAGGGCACTGGGAGGGTGCCCATGCAGGTGCAGGCTGGCTCAGGAAGGCCCTCCTTGGCCTTGCTCAGGCCGCGCCTCAGAGCCTTAGTCCTTATTCTTCGTGTTTGGTTTTTTCCGTTTTTCATGGTGCCACATTTCTGCTTATGTTGAGTCATTGTCTCCATGTCCTTTATTATAACACAGGAAAGCACGGGTCTTGTTGATCTCTCCTCTCCGCAACAATTTTGTCTGGACCACTGAGCACATCTTCGGGCAGATACCCTAGGAAGCCAGCCCCGAGGTTCTGGAAAATGGCGAATGTGCCGGATGGCGTGCAGGGCCGTGGCTCCCCGCTGGAGCTGTTCAACAGCATAGCCTCCCAGGAGGATGTCGTGAGGTCCCTCAAAGCCACAAATACGTCACAGGTATGTGGTCCAGTGGGGCTCTCCAAGTGTCCTGAGACAAGTCCATGGGTCATGTTATCCAGATCCTGGTTCCTCAGCAACATGTATTTTGGCTCGGACTTTGCCATTACTTTCTTCCTTGTCAATGTTGCTGCTGCATGGGCTGCAGACCCCGTGGCCCTATGTCCTCTGAAGCAGCCGCTGCTCACCCCCCTCCCGCTCCCACAAGCGCACTTCTTCGCTCATCCGGCTGAGAGTGGTGCCCCATCTCTAACCGGCAGGCTGCTCCTTGCTCCCGTGGACTGTGAGTTTGGGGCCTGCGCTGTAGGTGAGGGGTCTGCGCACATACCCCGCGCTGGCCCTGCGTGCACAGGGAGGGCTTCCCATCCCGCCCAGCTTGTGCCTTTTCTGGGTTTGATATTCACTCATTTGCGTGGGTTCTTGTGCAGCCTCAGCCCTCCTCGCTGTGGTGGCTCCTATGCGGCTGGCCCGTCACCCATCTACCCAGTGCAGCCTGGATCTAGTGCCCAGGATGGCCACTCCTGTGCCGAGGCCAGTGCCCGCCTCCCACACTGCCCATCTCACCACCCTGCCCCTCCTGGGCCCCCACCTCACCTCTCCTGACCCCCTACTACCCTCTGCAGCTGGAAGGGCAAGTGGCCCGATAGTTTCTAAGAAAAAAAGTGCTGAGGAGATAGAGATGCGTGCCCGCGCATCTCTTCTTACTAATGCCTGATTGGTGGCTAGACTGAGTGTAGATTCGGGGCAAGTGGGTTCCCTTGGAACCCTGAGCCTTCCCTCCGCCGTCGCTCCTGGGGTGCCCTGCCTTTTCTCTCTGCGAACCTGCAGGAGCTTCTCTTGTCCGAGCTCTGAACTTTCCTGGGATGACTGCACAGTGCTCTGTTCAGACTAGAAGCTGGTGACCGTTAATTCTCGGGAATTTCATTACTTCTCTGGTCTCCTCTGTTACCCTGTTCCTTGGAGATTTTGTTATTCAGAAAGTGGTCCTCTGGTTTTCTCATTTTTTGCCTTATACTTACTTTCCATTTCACTGTTTTTTCAGGCATATTTCCTCAACTTCTGACCCCCTCTGCTGTTTTTTGTGTGGCCTATCATTTTTAATTTCCAAGCGCTCCTTGACCTGAGTGCCCTTCCCTTCGTGGCGCTCTGTCCCTGTGTCACGGGCACGGTGTCCCGTCACCTCTGCGATCAGCATATCAGGTCTTCTCCTGGTCTCGGCCTTCTTTAGCATCTTGATTTCCTCCAAATTAATTTGTTTCCTTCTGGTTCTCATCTTAGAGGCGATCCTCGAGTATTTCTTGCCACTCGGCCATCTTGTTTTAGAGAGGAGTAGAGAAGCCACTTGGAAGCTCTGCCCCTGGCAGTGGCAGTGTAGGTTTCCCTCCCCTGAGAGTAAGCAGACCACTCACTTTGTTGGGAACTCCTCGCAGTCAGGGTCTTTAGCCCTCTTTGCTGAATCTAGTGGCGTCCCCCAGGGAGCCAGTGGTGGGGGGAGGATTCCTCCAGCGTGCTCTCCCAAGGAGCAGGTCCGGCTCCAGCAGCAGCAGCCTGGACAGGGCTCTCTGTGCCCCTTGCCCTCCTCCACATGCGTGGTACAGTGCCCGCCCTAGGGTGTAACTGGGAGAGCAGGCAGTACCCAAGTCTGCTATGTGGGAGGAGGCATAGGGACTAAATAACAGCTTCTCACATAGACTTTCCAACAGCACTCCTAGTTTCAGAAGCCACTTCACCCCACTTCTATAAGTTCCTTATGCCTGACCCTCTGGGGTATTCCACAGCAGGGCAAGCCCGGCCACCACCCAGCATTTCCACGGCACCATGGCTTTTGTTCTTCCACCTGCTCAGCCAGCTTCTGAAATGGCTGCTGCTCTCGCCACGTCCTGTTCCCTTGTCCTCGTGCAGTATACCTCTTTTAAAGATCTCTGCTGAGAAAGCGACAGGTCTGCATCTTTAGCCGGAGCGCAGTGCTGCCTGTCACCCCGCTGCTTCATCCTGTGACTGCCTGGCCCACTGCTTTCAGTGCCATCTTCTCAGAAGTCTCCTCCTGGCCTCTTGCCAGGTGTTGTCAGCCTCCTCATACCCACCCAGTGGTTGACTTTGGCTACTTGGATCCCACGTGAGCCATTACATTTTAAAAGAAAAAAATAGGGCTGAAAGTGCACTCAGTGCAGGGCTTGGTCCCTCACAGAAAGAGGCTCACCTCAGGTCGGGCACAGCGCATAATCTAAAGTAAGTGAAGGCCTGAAATGTTGACCATTTTATGCTTTGAACCCATTTTGGGAACTTGACAGTGATATTTTTGTCCATTATACTAAATTTCAATAACATTTAGTAAGTGTCTCTAGTTAGTAATTCTTGGTGGCTGCCATCATTGAGCAATGTTAGCAGATGAGCAATACCTAACGCTGTCCAGAGCCACTCCCCCAAGCGTGCTCTCAGGCTCATGTACTCAGCTGACACCCAGAGACCCCAGGTGACACTGGCCTTTGGTGGTGAGAATTCAGAAGCAGATTTGTGTCTGTCCCTGAATCATGTTGTAATGAAAGCACCTGCTGATGTTTTAGAAATCCACTTGAAACACAACAGCTGAGCCCCTGTGACACCCGCGCAAGGAAGCTCTGGCTCGGGCTGCTGCCTCCTGTCAAGGCCATGGTCCCACTGTTCTTTCCTGCTCCGTGGAGCGAGGGGATGAGACCCACTTCATTAAGGAGAACTAGCTCAGCAAAGCAGGGAGTGTCCTGGGGGATCGGTCAGAATGGGGAGGGCGGGCAAAGTCTAAGGGTGTGTACAGTTTGAACAGGGCTCAAGAAATGACCCTGAATCCTAGGGGTTCAGGTAGGGAGCAGAGCCTTTTGTCTTCTTTGAGTTTACTTAAACTCCTTCTGATGAAGTAACACCATCCCCACAGCAAGGTCGAGGGCCCAGCGTCTCACTGACTGCACTTGAGCAACCACACCTGGAAGCCAGCCTCAGGCCCTTCAGTTGCCACCTCTGCCCTCCCAGGGGTGCCTCCCTCCACCTGCACCCCCATGGACCACACAGAAGGGCCGCTTGTAGTCATTTGTGTCTGACTATTTTCCAAACATCAGCTTTTAAATTCTGTTCAGTGTGTCTTGGTCCATGTTAGGTTGAGAGGAAGAAAATAGACAAGGTCATGGTGCCTCCCCTGGTGGCGCAGTGGTTGAGCGCTGGGCTGTGAAGCTGCCCGCAGCCTCTGCAGTGCCAGTTCGATACCTGGCCACCGGCGAGGGTCCCACATGGCGCGACAGACCTCTCCTGTCTCGCCCGCTGCTCCACTCAGCAGTGTTTCGTCAGTCTGCCTGTTCTATTCCCTGCTCTGTCTTCGGTGAATCCTCTCACCCTCCCGCACATCTGGCCTGTACCCCAGTCCTTGCATAAAATAAATAAATCTTTAAAAATGAGAAAAGAAAATAGACAAGGTCAGCCTGCTAGTCTGTTTCAGTGCCACGAGAAACCACAGCAGGTTTTCAGGCAGGGGCTCGGTGGGTAGGGACAGAGCCCTCTGGCTGCTCTCAGGCCAGCCAGAGTGTGAAACGTAAAGTAGCACAGCAGGCCAGGTGTGCTTCCAGCAGGCTACTCCTTCCCTTCGGTGACGCTCGGTCACACTTGCTGGGCATTTATGTTGTCAGAAGCATTGAACCTGGGCACTGCACAGAACAAGGTAAGACTGACTGACCGATCTAACCTGGGCAGACATTCTGTCTCTCGAAGTGTGTCTGTGGGGTGATTGAGTCCACAATTCTGATTCACTTTAATGACAAACTCCACATGGTCTCAGCATTTGAAACATAAATCTGTGTCTAACACCCCCTCCCTGTGACGCCAATCCCCTGCGGCCCGTGCCGTGTCGGAGGGAGCAGATCTGAGTGGAGTTGGGCCCAGTTCATTAGCACGTTATATATAAACTTCAATGCAAATGTTTGTGTTTCCACTGGCAAGAAGATTGAACTGTGTATGCTCTTTGCTTGCGACTTCATCCAGCAAGGGCAATTATGGTTGTAGAGCGTCAGGACCTAGCATGACTAATCTGCTTAATTAGGCCTGCTCTTTTAAATGCTGGGCTTCTGGGGGAGGCGGTCTTTCAGAGAGTTCTACAGTACCTGTTTTACATTTGAATTCTGTACACTTATAGGAAAGCCATACTTATGTAGACACTTTGGATAGCTTGGTAAGACTCCAGAATGCAGTAGTATAACTATTTTCCAGTGAATCCCAATTAATCTCAGACCTGAAAGACATTTTCCTTGCCTTTATTTTTTTATTTTTTATTTTTTTTTTAGATGTATTTATTTATTTATACAAGAACTGAATACAGTCAGAAGCGCGGGAGGGTGAGAGAGCTCACCAGAGCCAGAGCGGGGAGCAGAACAGGCAGACTGAGGTACACTGCTGAGGGGAGCAGCGGGCGGCAGGAGAGGTCTGCACTCCATGTGGGACCCTCCTCCAATGGCCGGGGAGCAGCCGGGAATCGAACCAGCACTGCAGAGGCTGTGGGCAGCTTCGCAACCCAGCGCTCAACCACTGCGCCACCGGGGAGGCCCCGACCTTGCCTTTATTTTTATGATCTCTTTTTGAGTTTCTGGTAACCATCCTCGTGGCATCACTGTTTAGTTTCCAGTATTCATCTCAGCCTGCGTAGCAGGTGAACAAGGTGCGGTGTGGAACCCACGCAGCGAGTGGAGTTTGTCACCTGTGCTCTCCAGCATCGGGTGTTTGCCACCTCTCTGCACGTGGACTCTGGTGCACAGTGCAGGTTGTGGTGCCTTCCACAATGCCGGGATGGCAGATAAAGGCCTGTGAGTGCCCCTGGGCAAGTTCCTTGTCCTCTCTGAGTCTCAGGGCGGTGACAGGGTTGCCACCTCTTGGGGAGGTGGTGTGACTGAATGAAGTGGTATGTGAGCATATCGCACCCCGCCCGCCACAGGGGACCAATACTGCGCGGCCACGCTCACTCTCAGCCACGCTCACTCTCAGCAACGCTTGTAACCCTACCCTTACATCCTTTGTTCAGGAGGAAATCGACTCTGCAATGAAAATGCTGTTATCATTAAAAACGAGCTACAAAGCCGCCACAGGGGAGGAGTACAAGGCCGTCTGCCCTCCAGGGCACCCGGCACCTGCGGGTGATGGCCCGGGGGCCACAGAGGCCGAAGAGGATTTTGTGGACCCGTGGACGGTACAGACCAGCAGTGCAAAGGGCGTTGACTATGACAAGCTCATTGGTACGTTCTAGGGAAAGTCTCGGCTTTTACAGGTGACTCCACTTAGTTGGTTCCTCTAATTTTAATTTTGAAATGATCACAAGTCCAATCAAGCTTCAATGCCTAGAAAAAAAATAGATCCTAAAACCTTTGGGTGGTACATTCAATTCCCAAAGGATCATTTCTAAATCAAGTGGGAACATAAAACTTATTTCAGGGTAATGGTACACCACAGATAGCCTAGTAGAAGCGTTTTGCTTTCACTGATCAGTTTCGAACTTGGTCTGTGAAGCAGGCATCTCTGCTCACCAGTCTTCACTAAGTGGTCACGAGTCAGTGGCAGGTACAGCTCATGAGTCACGTACAGCTCTCCAGTCACGCGGGCTGTGGGGCTGGAAGCTGGGAGGGGGCTGCAGAAGGGGGTTTCTCACAGGGGCGAGTCTAAGTCAAAACCATTTTCCAAGATTTAAGTATAGGCTGTCAATGAGAAAAATTTCACTTGAGGACAAATATTCAGTTCAACAATGAAATAATATTTAAAATTATTGTCAGTATACAAGTTTTAGTAGCCACGTGTGTGTTTTCCAGAGTTGCCAGCTAGGATGCATTCTGGAAGTTTCCATCAGAATTCAGTCCCCGTCAAACAGCATTTTACTCTGTGGTTGGCTTCCTGTTTTGCCTTCATGGTTGACATGAAAGACACTGGCTTTGTGTCGAGGGAACAGATCCATGTCCCAAAGACATGCCTGGATGGCTACCTTTCCCCCTAGTTTCAGTACCATCTGACTGTCACCACGCCTCCCACCACCTTGGGTTACCTCTCCTTCCAATTTTTTTCCAGTTCGGTTCGGAAGCAGTAAAATTGACAAGGAGCTGATAAACCGAATAGAGAGCGCCATTGGCCAGAGACCCCACCGCTTCCTGCGCAGAGGCATCTTCTTCTCACACAGGTCAGGGGCTTCTCACTGCTGTGTGTCTCCCTCCTCCCCCTCTTACTCAGAAGAGAAGCAGGAGGCTGCTGCCTGGCACCGGGGGCAGCAGGGGCCAGATCAGGAGCCTAGGGCCCACCTTCCTCTGCCAGTGGTGGGGTGTGGGTCATCCTGTCCCATAGCCTCTCTCTGATCCTTAGCTTATTCATTTGCAAACTGCCTACCTCAACAAGATGAAGGTCAAGTTCATAGCAGGTGAGGTTCATGCCAGATTATGTGCTATAAATTATTAAATGTCAAATGGGAACGAGATTAGTATGTTCAGACTTCAACATTTCCCACACAGGCAACGGCAGGCTTCCCGAAATTGTGTGCCCTCTTCCTCTTATTGTTCTGGCTGCTCACAGATAGCAAAAGAGAAACTCAGAGTATGGAGCAGAATATCCGTAGGCACCAGAAAACAGGCAGGTTCCACAGGACCTCTGCCTCACCCACCCTCCCAGAATGACTCTGGTTGTGGCTGGCCTATTTTTGAGGCCATGTTCATGGACTTCATGGTCATAGGTAGGGGTGCTCTGTTGTCGCCCTTCCTGGCTACAGGCGCGCACATCCAGGATGGAAGTCAGCAGCCTACCCAAACATCCCAGCTTCTACACACAGAGAACTCTCAGCCCGTTCAGCCCTCTCTCTGGGCAGAAGATACTCAGCCCTTAATTTAAAATTTAATTCCCATGGTATAATATTTACCTTTTAAAGAATACAATTCAGTGGTTTTTAGTATACAGACAGATACACACATACACACACGCACACACAATATTGTGGGATACAGTGGTATACAGGACAAATACTCAGTTCAACAACTAAGTGATTTTTTTTTTTAAAGATTTATTTATTTATTTATACAAGCACTGGGTACAGTCAGAAGCGCGGGAGGGCGAGAGAATTCACCAGAGCCAGAGCGGGGAGCAGAGCAGGCAGAAGGACCGAAGCACACTGCTGAGGGGAGCAGCGGGCGGCAGGAGAGGTCTGCGCGCCATGTGGGACCCTCCTCCAGTGGCCAGGGAGCAGCCGGGGATCGAACTGGCGCTGCAGAGGCTGCAGGCAGCTTCGCAATCCAGCGTTCAACTGCTGCGCCACCGGGGAGGCCCTAAGTGATTTTTTTTTTTAAAGATGTATTTATTTGTGCATACAAGAGCTGGAGTACAGGCCAGAGATGCAGGGGGTGAGAGGATTCACCAGAGACAAGACTGACTGAAACACACTGCTGAGGGGAGCAGCGGGCGAGACAGGAGAGGTCTGCTGCGCCATGTGGGTTGCTCCCTGGCCGGCCGGGGAATCAAACTCTTGCTGAATCTAGCTCGTGCTGCAGAGGCTGAGGATTGCTTCGTAGTGCAGTGCTTAACCCCTTGCGCCACCAGGGAGGCCCTAAGTGATTTTTATAATCATGGCTGTCAGAATATGTAAGTTACATCTTAGTGCTAACTATATGTGTTTATCCAACTTTTTTTGTTCCTTTCAAGGTTATTTTGACACCCTAGATTCTTTGCATTTCCAACTTTGCACTTCAGGATTAGCTTGCTTATTTCTGCAGGGAAGGGCAGCCAGGATTTTGGCAGGGTGGCTCTCACTCTGTAGATGTGTAAGGTCTGCATGCCTGCCTGGGGACCATGCCTTCTTGAACCTGTCTCCCAATACATGCAGTTAGAACATGTTTTATTTCACTCGGTCTTTAGTTTCTTGCAGGATTATTTAGTAGTTTTCAGTGTACAATCTCACACTTCTTTTGTTAGAGTTATCGCTAGGGTTTTATTCTTCTTGGTGCTGTCTCAATTTTATTTTCAGATTGTGCTTTGTTATTTCTGAAGGAAAACACTCACTTCTGTGGGCCTCTGCTGCTACAACAGGCTTCACAGGTGATCCCAGCTGTGGGGGTTTCCACACACCTCACATGCCTGTGACCCCAACTGGGTTTTCTACAACCTAACTCAGTTCTGACACTCTCTTATCTGGGGAGAGGTTCAGTCCCCTGGTCTGCCCCCCAACTTCTGGCACCAGTTACAAATCCAGGTTGCTGCCGGTGCTTCTGACCGACTATAAATCAGATTCCCATGACCCCCACCTGGGCTCAGTTAATTTACTAGAGCAGCGACATTACTCAGGAGAACATCGTGCTCACTGGGTTCACAGTTTGTTCTAAAGCTGTGCTCTGGACACCCAGATGGACACCCAGACAGCAGAGATGGAGGGTGAGATACAAGGGGAGGGCTCGGAAACTCTCTGGGCACAGCCCTTCCCCTCTCCTGTGTCAGCCTACCAGGAAGCTCTCCAGCCCACTTCTGGATTTTCGTAAAGGCCTCAGCCTCAGGCATCGTGGTTGATTAAATCACTGGTCAGCACTTAGGCTCACAGCTAGCCCCATGCTCCTCCCCAGAGCTGGGGATGGAGATGCTGGTGACTGAAGGGTCCCAACCCCGTAATTTTGGTTGGTTCCCTGTAGACATCCCCCAGCCTCAGCTTACCCAGGGAGCTTTCTAAGTCACCTTTAGTGAACTCAGCTAGGTTGAAAGGGGCTGTTATGTGAATAACAAAAGACACCCATTTCACTGTTATCACTCATCATCTAAGAAATTCAGGTTTTAGGAGCTCTGCTTCAGAAATAGGATGGGACTAAGACCAGATGCAAATTTATTGTAAATTATGATGTCACTGCCAACATACTGTGCTACTGTTTAGAAATACAACTAGTGCTCATCTGTCACTCTTCTTTCCTGTAACCTTCCTGCATTCATTTATGAGCCCCAGTAGATTTTTGTCTGTTTTGTTTGTGTGTGTGTGTCTGTGGGGAGTTCTATATATGGGATTATGTTAGAGCAAAGACAATGTTACCTCTTCCTTTCTAATTGGACCTCTTTCCCCACCTGCTATAGCTAAAATTTCCATCACATTGCTGGCTCTCATGAAAGTGGGGTCTGTTGGGCATTGTTAGCCGGGGGTGGAATACCTCCATGCTGTTAGGGTAGTTTCCTTATGTTCGTAGTTTGATTTTTTTCATCATGAGAAGATATTGGATTTTGTCAGATCCTTTTTCTCCGTTTATTAGGATGGTCACATGGTCTGTGTCCTCCGTCTGTCAACATGGTGTGTCACGTGGGTGGATTTTTGCAAACAAAGACCACTTGGCGTGGTGTGTGCCTGTTGCTGGGTTTGGCTTTCGAGCGTTGGGCCTCCACAGCCTCGGGAGTGGTGGCCCGTGGTTTTCTTCTGACATTTTCGTCCTTTTCGGAAATCAGGCTAATACCTTGTAGCGTGAATTAGAAGAGTTTGTGGAAGATTGACATCCTTTTTTGAATATTTGATAGAATATTCACTGGTGAGTGAAACCCTCTGGGCCTGGGTTTTTCTTTGTGGGACACTTTATTCAGTCTCTGCTTGTTGCACACCTGTTTGGATTTTCCATTTCTTCTTGTGTCAGTGTTAGTAGTTTCTCTCTGGGAATTTGACTATTTCATCACAATGGGCTAAATTTTTCCACAGGATTCCCTTAAACTCTGTTCCTGTAAGATCAATAGTAATGGTCCTTCTTTCATTCCTCATGTTGCCTTCCCTCTTTCTCTTTTTCCTTGGACTTTACCCCAGAGTTTACCAACTTTGTTATTAAAACTGTTTAGCATCTTTCAGTTCTCACTGCTCTTTTGACTGGTTTCCCTCAGCGCAGTCATCCTGTGGGCTTTGGTTTAGGGAGGCCTAGCACTTGAGGCTGTGGTCCCGTCTCACCCTGTCCTCAGTGCAATAGGAGACTGAACAGAGTATCTCTCTCACTGCATATGCTGGGCACAGACGGGGCTCCCTCACCTGCTGAGTGCTTCCCAGGTGGGGGTGGTGCCAGCCCCAGCTCAGCCAGGCCCTGCAGTGAGCTATCAGCCCCCCAGCTCCCCAAAGGCATTGCTTTGCTTTCTCTTCCACACACCCATGAAAGTTTAACTTGGCCGGTGGTGAGAACCAGTTAAGTTGTGTATTCTTCCTTATTTCAAGAACAGCAGGTGATACTCCTTATGGGGGGAGGGATGGCACAATTAAGCCCGGAAAAACAGGAGGCTCCTGATCCCATTAGCCCGGAGATTGGCACCTTTAACTCTGCACCAGGGGAATAAGAAGTCACTTGAGAGGACTGTTCTCTGGGTTCTCCCACCCAGGCCTCTCGAATCTGGCCAGTTCTCTTCTATTTGGGGATCCTTTGCCCCAAAAAAAAGCACATCCACACCTCAGGGTAGCAGTCTCACACTCTGTAGCCGTTTCTGCAGTCAATCCCCACATACCACCCCAGCCCCGCTGACAGAATCACTAGGGCAGGGTCTGCCCAAGGCACAGCCCAGGAGAACTCTCCATGTGCATTGTTTGTGGACCCCAGTCCTGGGGGAGAGCTGCTGATTCCAGAACAATTCCCCGATGAAAGATACCTGGTCCCAGCCTACCTGAGGAACCCCAAGTCAGCTCTCCAGCTGTCACCTCTAAACTCTCAGAGGACATTCCAAGTAGCTGGCGTGTCAGCATTGACGTGTGACAGATCCCGCAGCCTGCCCCGCCTGACCATCTTCCAGACGCATGATGCCCAGCCTATGTCTGCTGTGCCAGCAGGCACAGGGCAGGTTCACTATGGATATGGGCAGACAAATAAAGGAAAGTCCCAGAGCCCTCATCAGTGGATTTTTCAGGCTTTAATCCTCTCTATAGTGGCACAACCAGGCACACAGTGGGGACCGGGAGGTGGGGGGGCAGATGGGAGCCCCCATAGACTGCCCAGCCCCCAGGCAAATCTTTTCTCTTTCTCTGGGCTCTCTTGTGGGCTCGTCTTCCCCTAGCCATTCCACAGTAGCCGTTTTCTATGTGAGGCCACCCCAATAGCCTCAGCCTCCAGGCCCAAGTGCGCACACTTACGCATGCCCACACCGTGCTCCATGTGTCCACAATCAGGTGTACCCTGCTCACCTCCCAAGCGCCTTCTGTATTAGTACAGTCAAGGCCACAGGCGACAGCCACAGAAGCCAGCGGCGTAAAAAGCCTGACCACTTCACTTACCTCCACTCTCCAGGGAACCAGGCACACAGGCAAGGGGGCTGGCATGGAGAAGGCAGGCCGGGCTGGGGGGCAGGCAGGCAGGCAGCCGAGCCTCCCAGCCCCCCACAAATCTTCATGCTCTTTCCCTGGGCTCTCTCTGGCCATCTCTTGTGGTCTCGTCTCTTCTGTAATCACTCACCCTCTCGTCGCCGTTGTCTGCCTCTGAGTGACGCCACCCTTCAAGCCCCTCCCTCCTAGGCACAGGTGTGCACACTTGCACATGCGCACACACCCATGCCCAGGTGTCCACAATCAGGCATGCGTGCCCCACACTCAGTGCCTTCTGCGTTAACACGATCAAGACCACAGGTGATAGCACCAAGGCCAGTGGCACAAAAAACCTGATTAATTTACCGTACAGCATGTCTCCCACCTGTAAACAGCCCGGAAGGATCCACACGGTGGAGGTTTCCTTCAGTGCCACCCCAGCACGATCGCTGTGGCCGGCTCCATGCTGGTTGCCTCCTCCTCCTTCCCAGTAGCACCAGCACCTCGATATTTTCCGCACAAAATCATATTATTTTTTACTTCTTTTTCCTTTAGGGACATGAATCAAGTTCTCGATGCCTATGAAAACAAGAAGCCATTTTACCTGTACACGGGCAGGGGCCCCTCCTCCGAAGCCATGCACGTCGGCCATCTCATCCCGTTCATCTTCACCAAGTGAGTGTCTCCTCGGTCGCCTTTTATTAGCTAATCGGAGAGGACACGGTCATGTCTGCTGAACAGAGCAGGCAGTTGGCACCTTGGTGGCCTCTGCTCACTTGTCTGTTCCTGGTGTCACTTTCGAGGACAGTGGCCTGGTGGACAGAGCGTGGCTTTGTTTCTCCTCTCCTCGCCCCTGTCCTTCTGACCCTGGGAGGTGACATCTCTGAGCTTTGGTTTCCATATCTGCAAGGTGGAAGAACTGTACCTGCCTCGTGAAATCATCGTGAGCCTTCCAAAGTACGCGGGCAGCTCCCACAGGAGCCGTGGCTGCAGGGGGAGCCCTGTCGTCAGTCAGGGTCACACGATCCTGACATCTGTAGACAAGGAAGTTTTGACACACGTTGTTAGTCGTGCTGAAAATGAAAATGAGGCGATTATGCTGAGCCCACTAAGACTTAATCCCCAACCTGGCCTCACTTTCAAACCCCCTGCAGCCTCCGCCTCACTTAGGGGTGTGGTGGGGAATTTTCAGTGGGTGATTCTCCATCTGCACAATGAGGTCAGCCCCATTTCCCAGAGGAAGATGAGATAATAATCTGCCAGCCTTTTTCCACCCCCCATAGGTAGGGTTACCTGGGCCTGAAATAATTCCCTCTTCCCATCCCTTACCCTCTTCCAGCCTCTGAAAACCTTTCCTTTTGTACAGCTATTTTGAGCACCTTTCTGCTGGCTGGAGGGGAGGCTGCCTGATTCATGAACAGTTTAGTAAAGCAAATCAGATCTTTTTTTTTAAAGATTTATTTTATTTATGCATATAAGAGCTGGTGTGTAGGCCAAAAGTGTAGGGGGTGAAAGGATTCACCAGAGACAGAGTGGGGAGCAGAACAGGTGGATTGACTGAAATCCACTGCTGAAGGGAGCAGTGAGGAGAGAGGAGAGGCCCGCTGCGCCTCGTTGTGGGTCACCTCCCTGGCCGGGGATCGAACTCCTGCTGCACTGACTGCTGATAGCTTCATAGTGCTAAGACTTAACCCCTGTGCCACCAGGGAGGCCCGCCAATCAAATCTTAAATGCATTGGTTGGATTTTTGTTATTGAACAGCAGGAACTGTGTTTTCAGATGCCGGTGGCATTTTTCTGTGGGGAGATGACCCCAGCCCTCTCCCGTGTCTCTCAGGTGGCTGCAGGATGTGTTCAATGTACCCTTGGTCATCCAGATGACGGATGACGAGAAGTACCTGTGGAAGGACGGTCTGACCCTCGACGACACCCACAGCTATGCCATTGAGAACGCTAAGGACATCATCGCCTGTGGCTTTGACATCAAAAAAACTTTCATATTCTCTGACCTGGACTATATGGGGTAAGACGAAAGCACCCAGCTGCCTTTTAAATAAGTAGGTACAAAGAGAACAGCGAGAAACTTAAAATTTTTAATAAGTAACTAGGTACAGCCCTCGGGTCACCATGGCTGAGCGTAATGTGGAAGCACCTGGCCAGTGTTGTTCTCCCACCATTACGTTATGATCTGACTTACTGGTTTTATTCCAGTTAAGCTTTTCATCCTCAACTCACGACAGGGCAGTGCTTCTGCACCGACATCTCTCTCCAGGGACCTCTGTCAGTCCGGTGAAGTTAGGGCAACTTCCTCTCTTGGTGCCTCCTCCCTGCTGTGCCACTCCTCAGTGTCTAGTCTCTTTCCTTGGCCACTCAATAGACCAAGTATTTCATTCTGATCATCCTTGAATTGAAACCTCTGAGGCCTTGACCTTCATCCCAAGTAACTATCATGAAGTATGCTAGAAAAATACTTTTTGGCTGTTCTAAGAAGACTCTTCAGCTCAACAGATATTTTTCAAACATGTCCAATGTGGTGCTCCCCTTAAGGCACTGGCGGCCCCAGGCAACAGTGGCTCTGTGGACTGAGTGGCACCTGGCTGTGTGCGGGTGGCCCTCACTCCAGGAGCGGGGTCTCCGGGCAGGGCGCGGAGGGCTGTGTGAGTAGGAAGCTCCAGGGAGCTTGCTCCTGCTGTTTCCCCTCGTGTTCCCTCTTACAAGTGCTGAAATCTCACTGGTGGTTTTAAAAACTTCCATTGAAAGAAAAGGATGCCTCCTAGGAAATCTGGCTTTGATACATGCTGGTAAATGAATTAAGTTTCTAATTTTACCTAGTCGGTCTTAATCATTTCTGTTGCTTCTGCCCTGTGGGCATGGAGGAGGAGGTGTCCTTGAAGAAGCGGGATCTTTGAAGAGAGGAAAGCAGACCTGGGTTCGAGCCCTGGCGCCGCCTTTCAGGGTCAGGAGTCCCACCTGCCCTTCTCAGCAGGCGCTGGGACTGGACGAGGCCGTGGGTGGCACTAGATTTTCATGACACTTGGTTTCTCGCTCCCTTTTCTTAAAACTGCCTGATTGGGCTGCTTGAGCCCAAGGACCCACTGCGGGTTCTGCTGCTCTTTGAGGACCAGGTCTCCTTGTCTTCTGTGCAGCTTGTCCTGCCCCACCCCTCGGGACTGGCCCCCACCCACAGTGCGCTTTCCGAATCAGGTTTGGCTTTGCCCCGCTGCTGTGCCTTTGCCTCTTCTCCATCAGCATCAGGATAAAGTGCTTACTTTCCAAGTAGCTCACCACGAGCGCTCTCACATTTGGCCTGTGTTCCTCGGCAGCATCACCGCCACCCCCAGCTGGAAGGCTGCCACCCCGTCTCAGCGCATGCTCGTCTCTGCCCAGTGTCCCTGCTCCCCTCCTCCCACCCCCCACTCCCAGTGCAGCAAATTCCTACGCCTCCTTCCAAACAAAGTCCTTCCCTGCTCCCCTGTCTCCCCAGCAAGCGCCCCAACTCTGCACCTCTGGTGCGGTATGACAGTGGCCCTATTCCACTGGGTCAGCAGCTCAGTCCCAGGTGCTTTCTGCGGCAGGTCCCTGCTGGTACCTAGAGAACGGCCTGGAGCGGATCCCGGGCTGCCTCCCTGAGCGCAGACGTCAGTGGGGCGGAAGCCCAGGCCTCTCCTAAGTCCGTGACTGGTTTGGGAGTGGGGGGAGCCTTTGAACTTCCATGTGGAAAGATGACCATGTGACCAGCCCCTCCTCTAGCACATTGGGGGGACCCTGTGGTCTGTGGTGACGGCGTCCAGGCTGTCTCGTCCCTGCAGTTCCCCATCCTGCACCTTTGCTCCTTCGTGATCATGGAGTAGACATGAAAACCAGACATGTCAGCCAAAGGGTCTTAACATGTCTTCTTGGAAAGGTACTTTATACTGAACTAAAGTTAAGAGGGATGTTTTAGAAGTTTAATCCTGTTTCTAAACATCTTATTCCCTTAAAGAGTTTCTTCCAACCACTAAAGCATTTAGCACTTTTTTCTGGAAATTTTACTAGAAATAGTATGTCTGTGTTTGACAGATCTCCCTCCTGGTCTCCAGAGCTAGGAATACACCCAAGCCAGCACCCCACCTTTGGCTGGGAGGGGAGCAGCTGGGGCTACCTGCCCCAGGACCACCCCTGACTCCTCAACTGAGCTGCCCAAAGACTGAGCAGTTCTCTACTGCACCCCGAGCCTGAGCCCTTCCTAGCTGGGAGACAGATGTAAAAAGCGCAGGCTTTGGGACCAGCGAGCCTGGGTTTGGATTCAGCTCCTGCCCTCACCAGGTCTATGACATGACTCTTAACCTCCCTGAGCCTCAGTCTCTACCTGTAGAGTATTAGAGTATTAGACTGAGTTAGCATGTCCAGCATGCACCACAGCTCTGGCCACACGGTGCAGACACCACGACAGTAAGTGGCCCACTTTTTCCCTTGTCATCCTCTTGCTGCCTGCCATGTGATGGGGCCTAGAGGAAGCTGCTGCCTTTCTTCATGAAAAGATGCCATGTTTGTAGCCCTCTGGGTTCTGCCCCCGCCCTGTGTTTCCTCCATTCTTCGCCTAGTTCCCTCGCATAGCAGAATAGCTGCCACGACTCAGGCTTGTGTCCACACCTCCTTCATCCAGCAGCACCTGGTTGTCCAGCCCTGTCATGGGGTTGGGCTCATCCTGGCCACCTCATAGTGGGGGGCGCTAGCTTGCTCTGGGACAAGCCGCCACCTCCCCCGGGCCATCTGTTCAGCAGACCCTCCATCCGGCCACTCTGCAAGTAGTGTCCCCAGCCCACAGCACGGTCTGGCCCAGTGGGAAGGCTCCCAGCCCTGAGCTCCCCCGGCCCAGCCCTGACCCCAGTGGGCTTTAAGTCCAAACCCTGTTTGCTTCTGTTGGGTTCACACTGGTTTCCACCCTTCCTGGGCAGCCCTGCCGGTAAAGGTGTTTCTGCTCACCTGCTGAAGGTGACTGCCTGCAGCGGCTTCCTGGCACATGCGTCCTCCCCGGGCCATCACTGCGTGAGGAACACTGCCCTCTGGGCCACGTCTGATTCTGTCTATCTTTCAGGTCGAGCTCAGACTTCTACAGGAATGTGGTGAAGATCCAAAAGCACGTCACCTTCAACCAGGTGAAGGGCATTTTCGGCTTCACGGACAGTGACAGCATTGGTAAGGAGCCCTAGCACACACGGGGCCCTGCAGCCCCCTGGCTGAGCCAGCTCCAGAGATGGCGGCTGTGCAGCTGGTTCTTTAGGAGTAGGCCCAGAGGCAGGTATTCCTGACCCCAGAGAGTCATGCGCTGCCTTCAACCAAAGTTCTGCCATCCTTTGGTCCCTGGTTCTCAGTGTCCCCGCCCTTGAGAGGGAAGAGGGGCTGGTGGAAGCCCTGTGACCCTCCTTCATGGCACCATTGCTAGCCACAAAAACCACGCTGAGCGCTTAAGGAGGTGGTGACATCATGACTAGCTGCATGGACTTTGCTGCCAAGAAACCCAGGTTTGAACCCTAGTGCAGCCAGGCACTTGCTGTGTCACTTTGGCCAGCCATGTAGACCGTCCGAGCCACCATCTGTCAGTCTGTCAACCACAGGGGTGAAGCGTCTCCTCCACAGGCCTGTGAGGAGTAGGGGAGCCCAGGAACATCCCCGAGCACAGAGCCACCCCCACAGCAGCAGTGCCTGGCACTCCATGCAGTAAGGGGCACAGGTGGCAACAGCTAGACATCCACTTGGCCCCCCAGAGAAATGGGTGCCTCTTTCTGAAGTGGGGAGAAAACAATTCCCGGAGAAAGCATCACGTAGAGCAGACTTAGTGGGGTAGAGAAGCAGCAGCGGGCAGTGCCCAGCCATGGCCAGGGCCCCACTTGCCAGCGTCACACAGAGGTCTGTGCGCTGTGACCCCAGCCGGCTGCCCCCAGCTGCAGGCTTAGCAAGTGGCAGTGTGGACAGTAACCACCTCAGAGCGCTGAAACCACGTACGTACCAAGATGGCATTATCATGGAAGGCGAAGAGCAGCCTGACGCCCGCAGGGCAGAGAAGGGCTGGCAGGTGTGCGAGATGTGCAGGACTGACCACGTCCCACATGGCCCGGCCCGGGGTCCCGAGGGAAGGGCAAGGAAAGGCTAAGCAGGGTCTGATCGCGACTGAAATGCACCCCGTGAGCCAGGAAGTGGTGAGAGAGGCTGGATGGGGCTGTGGGTCTTTTCCTGCCCACTTCCGTGTTTTCGGATTTTCTTTAATGACTGTGACCCTCTAACTTAGGGGGTTTTTGTTTTGTTCATCCCCTCCCTGGGTTGATCATCCAGAGTAGACGTTGATCTCGGGTAAAAGTATCTCGTCCCCCCTTTCAGGGAAAATCAGCTTTCCTGCCATCCAGGCGGCGCCCTCCTTCAGCAACTCGTTCCCTCAGATCTTCCAGGGCAGGACGGACATCCAGTGCCTCATCCCTTGCGCCATCGACCAGGTGAGGCGGCGGGAGCGGATCAGCGCGGTGCCCGGCACGCTTCCGCGGGGAGAGGGGTCTTGGAAGACATCGGGGCTGGGATCAATTCTTCCACGTCCTTGGAAGCCTGAGTGTTTGCGCGAAGGCCCTCTTGGGGCAGCTCTCTGGCCACCAGCTGGCCCGGGCCTTGCAGCTGTCCTCACGAGGCCCCTCTCTCCGCAGGATCCTTACTTTAGAATGACCAGAGACGTGGCTCCCAGGATCGGCTACCCTAAGCCAGCCCTGCTGCACTCCACCTTCTTCCCCGCCCTGCAGGGCGCCCAGACCAAAATGAGTGCCAGCGACCCCAACTCCTCCATCTTCCTCACAGACACAGCCAAGCAGATCAAGACAAAGGTGAGCACTTCCCTGAGCAGGGGCTGCATGTGTGAGCAGAGCAGGCCTCAGAGAGAAGCCAGCCTTGTTTCAGTGCCAGCCAGGCAGGAGCTGTCTCCTGTCTCGTGCTCACTGGTGAGGGCAGCATGTTCCTCAGAAGGGACCAGAAGGGCACAGCCCAGCCAAGGATCAAGTTGCCCGGGACTGCTACCAGTGCCCGCAGGGCTCCCCCGTGGCCTGCGAGCAGCCAGCACCATGCTGGGACCTGGGGGCTAATTTGTGCCCCAAGATTCCTTGCCAAAGCAGATCTGAAAAATGTCCTCCGACAGGACAGCCATGCCCTGCCCAGGGGCTGTACCCCTGGCATGCAGCTGGCACTCAGCAAATATTTGCCGAGTCTCCAGCAAAACTTGAGTCAGGAACAGCTGAGCTTCCTCGGGGCCGCGCTGCTGTTGCCCCGGCTCCGCTGCCACACGGGCCCTCACTGCCCACGAGCGGCTGATGCTTTATTTGGAGCTGCCTGGTGTGTGGGGGCTAAACAATTAAGTGGGAGTGACAGAAACTGAGGTGTGTCATGTGACTCTGAGCCACTGCCAGGCCCTGGCCCTCTGGAAAGTCCCCAGTGTTCTGGTTGACGGAGGCAACGCCCTCGATACCAAAACTTTCAGGAAATGACACGCCAGCTCTCCCACCCTTTCTCTTTCCCTTTCAATTCTGGCAAAACTTGTAGAAGGAGAGTGCGGGGAGGGTGGGGGGCCGCTGCGCCCTCCAGCAGAGCCATCATCTCTTCTGCTTGTGAGAAGTCGTGAGGAAGTGACAGGTGGCTCGCGGGCACCTTTTGTTTTCCTGGGAGCCAGCAAAGCCCCTGAGGTGGGGTGAGCAGTGACGTGAGACTGCAGAGGACCCCAGCCGGGAGCCCCTTTGGGGCAGGCCGCAGGAGGTGCCCTTGCTCCCCTGTGCCAGTTCAGGGAGTCCTAGCAGCCACCCCGGGGGCTGTGTCCACTTCTGGGTGCGGAAGCCAGGTACACCCAGCCGGCAGCTGTAAGCAGTGGGCCTTGCCGTGGTCCTGCTGTCAAGACGCCAGCTGTGATGCAGGAACAGTTGTTGTACCCACCCCCTAGACCGGAGGTAGGGCTCTTGTGTCCCTGCTGTCACTGGCCCAGGCTGGTGCCACCACATCCCTCAGAGCCTTAAGGGCCACCCTGTGAAGTCCGGGTTTCTCCTCTGCACAGTTTGCCAGGCTGGGCACCCACCTGTGATTTTTGGTCGCGGGCCCCGAGAGTGCTGCTCATAGGGCTGGCCTCCGACTCTGGGGTCGGAGGTGCAGTGGCCTATCCTGGGCCTGGGGTCACTGCAGGCCAGCCCCACTGTCCTGGTGGAGCGTAACAGCCCAAGCTCACTAGCCGCTAGGCAGTGCTGGGTACTGCAGCCTCCACGCCCGGGTGGCAACACCCCTTCCCTGAAGCACCCCTTTGCTGAAGATGCCCTGTCTGTCCTTGTTCTGAAGCTGGTCACCCAAGAATCCCTGAGACACTTCCATGAGTTTTAGCAGAGTCAGTGCCGTGTCTTTCCCGACTGTTCTGTCTGTGAGGAGTGGGGGCTCAGAGCTAATTGCTCTCCTGACCCTTCCCTGCAGTGATCCCCACTGGCTGCTACCCAGGCTTGCCAGGAGGGAACACTGTGGGGCTCCTTCACCCCCCCACCCACACACACACACCCCACCCCCGTCCCTGAGCCTGGGCGTGCCTCTGGTCAGGACCTGACCAGACAGAACACAGCCCCGGGTGACTTCCGCCTATTAGCACACATGGGATGGCCAGGCCCACTGACTTCTCTGTCCCCTTGCTGGCGCAGGTCAACAAGCACGCGTTTTCTGGAGGGAGGGACACTGTCGAGGAGCACAGGCAGTTTGGGGGCAACTGCGACGTGGACGTGTCCTTCATGTACCTGACCTTCTTCCTGGAGGATGACGACAAGCTGGAGCAGATCAGGAAGGTGAGGTGGTCCCAGCGCTGGCCGGCCTAGCCCTCCCCCACGGCCAGGCTCCCGCTAGGCCAGCCACGTTTTTAACCATGTGCCAGAAAATCTCAGGAAGGGCCAGTTGGCAAAGGAGAAAGTACAAGCTGCTGTTGAGTCAGCGACCATACAAGCTCAGTCTGATTAGCATCGGAGACATGTAGGTCGAAGGAAATCACCATCAGGGGTGAAAGTTCTGGAATGGGCTGGCTGTGTGTCACCCCATTGTCACCCAGAAGCTCCCAGGCTCACGGCCCATCTGCAGGGGTGCACAGCAGGCTCGCAGGGCCCCTGGTCACAGCCTTGGTCTTCTAGTTCTTGAAGCCTTTTCCAAGGAAGTGATCCTGAATAAGGAGCTTTTCTTGCAGAGATGCTAAAAATGATCACAGCGAACCATCCAGAGCACTCTGGCAAGGAAACACTGAGAATTGTCACAGGCTGGCCTTCATGCGACCTGAGAGTGTTAGCAACTGTCAGACAAGCCACGCCAGTGGGAAAAGGGTCTCGCGTGGACGCGCAGCGGGGCAGCCATATAGACACCCTGGAGAGGCCCCTAACGGACCGGGCAGTGCCGCGGCGGCCCTGCCACAGGGCGGGTTTTCTCCTTGCTGCTTGGTGGTTACGGGCCTTGCACGAGCGCGCTCCCCAGCGCTCCTCGCCCTCAGGTCAGAAAGTGAAAGATACAGCAGAGATTTTAGGGAAGCCAGTGGGGCCCCAGGGTCAGCCGTGGGCTCGGCCGCTTCCCCTCAGCGCGGGCGTCTGGTCATTTTCTGAAAAGCAGAGTTGAAGGGCGGGCGGGGCTCAAGACACTCACCCTCGGGCCGCCCCGCGTCTCCCGCAGGACTACACCAGCGGGGCCATGCTCACCGGGGAGCTCAAGAATACGCTGGTGGAGGTGTTGCAGCCCCTGATTGCCGAGCACCAGGCCCGGCGCCAGGCCGTCACGGACGACATCATCAGGGAGTTCATGACCCCCCGGAAGCTGTCCTATCACTTCCAGTGATGGCCGCCGCGCGAGCCTGCAGGGCCCCCGGCCCCGCCCCGCGCCACCACCGTCCCCCGTGCTGTGGGTCTCGCGTCTGCACCCCTCTGTGTGTCGATGCCGTCCTGCCCGTCATCCTCCCTGTCTCTCGGGGCCCTGCGGGCTGGGGGTTGCCGGCTGACACCGCAGGGTCACACAGGCGAGTCCAGCCTGTCTCCCACAAAGCCACCCCCAGGATGGGGCGCCCTGGGCTGGCTGGCCAGCGGCCAGCCTGTCCTGGTCCCCGCAGCCTTCCATTGTCCCCAGTGTGCCCTTCAGACCTGCCCTGGCGGGGCGTGCTGTCTGCATGTCTGGAGTCAAAATCCGCCCCCACCAGCAGCCCCTCTAACTGTAACCTGGAAGTCGCCTGCAGGAACTCTGCTCTCACCCTGGATGTTGGCCAGGCTTGGCCAATTTTTATTCAGTAGACTCATGGGTGAAACCCCAGGCCAGGCTTAGAGCCTACTCCGGAAACCACGTGCTTTCCCTGGACATCCTAGTAATGTCTCACCGAACCCCAAGCATCCAGCCTGAGAACAAGCAGCCCGCCCCCCTGGTTGTGCAAGATGCTGAGGGGAGTCGGTTGCCTCCACAGATGCTTTTGTGCCAACATTGGCCGGCGTGGATGTCTGCCCAGAGCAGGGCCCTGCCCCTCGCCCTGGCTGGCAGGGACGCCCACGTTCCTCGAGGCCCCCATTGAATGGTGGCTGGTGTGTAGTTCCAGGAAAGCAGAATACATCTCTCGGGAGGCCTGCGTCTGTCCCCTCTGTAGGCACAAGCCCATCAAGCTCTTACCCCCTGTCATTGGCATAAATAAACGTCCTCAGTCCTGCCTGTGTCGCTGTGCTGTCTGCGGTTTGACAAGGGAGCCGAGGCCTCACTTCTGACCCGGCAGTGTGCTGCACTGTCCCCTCCTGGGCGCCCCGTGGACGGAGACCGTCCCAGGAGCTCCCAGGCACTGAGAGGCGGGCCAGCAAGAATCAGCATGCAGGGCGGACTCCCGCCACCTCTCCAGCCTCAGTGACCTCCCCAGTGTGCCTCAGTTGATGTGCCCAGTGGGGAGGGCAAGGAAATGTCATTTTGCTAAGGAGGGTCAGCCAAGGGGCAGTTGGGAGCCAGCTGGGCAGGGGCCTGGTGAGCCAGGGGTCGATACCCATCTGTCCTCACTTTGCAAGTTGGAAAACTAAGGCTGAGGGGAGGTCACTTGTCCAAGGCTACACAAAGCAGGCCTGGCTGGGCCCCCTGACACTGCTGTCCCCCCTGCCATGCCACCCATGAGGCCCTTGAGGGAGTGGCACCGCCTCACTCCATCCCGCTGGCTATGGCCAGAGGAAGGAGCCACCCACAGGGTCCTGGCCCTGCTGGAGGCGACTTCCTGTCACTCGGTTGCACCCAGGTCACAGGTGCAAACACAAGTGATGACGGACACCAGACGGGGTCCACGGGCCCAGAGCTCTGCTGTGTTCACCCCACCAGGCACCCCACAGCACACACAGCCCGCAGGGGCCCCACCACCCAGGTCGGCACACACAGATGCGGCACCCTCGGGGGCCACCCTTGATCCTGAGGGAAGCTTCCAGAGCAGCCTGGCCTGCAGAGCTGCCGTGTGCAGTGGGCAGACCAGCTCTGGCCCCCCTCCCTGCCCTATTTCTAAAGGGGTCATGTTGGGGTGGGGGTGCCAGCTGTGTGCCAGTTCAACACCCAAGCCAGGCCCACCACCCGAAGGCAGGGGATGAGCACCCAAGCACTGGCTGGCCAGAGGGCACTCTCTGCCCCAGCGTGGCGATGTGGGAACCAGTCACCACCCCCGACCACAGAGCAGCCACAGCAGCCTCAGAAACATTTTATTGGCCAGGCTCCCCCACTCCACCTCTGGGGCCTGCGGGCAGTGAGGCTGTCCGCTCGTACCGGGCGGCCCTGGGTGTCCGGCGGTGCCCTCTGAGCAGCCTGGGGCCGGAATGAGCAGGGCCTGGACCAGTCACGAGGGTTCAGCCTCGCTGCATGCGGGTCCCGTCTGGAGATGAGCTGTGTCTGTCCTAAGGGCAGGGTGCCAGAGCAGCAGCAGGGCACAGTGAGAGCGGAGGGGTGCGGGTTGTGGGGGCAGCGGAGCCGACAACTGAGTAATGGACAGAGGTGAGGAAGCCAGGGTGCCCTGGAGACGGATGCGGCGGGAGGGGCGAGGGGAGCTGGAATGAACTGAGCAAAAGCACGAACTCTCCGCAGGGCACTGTCCTCACCGAAGGGGCCCGCTGCGCTGCGGCTCGAGTGACCCTTGGCCCACCCGGGCTTGACAGCCGAGGGCCCTGGTCTTCTTGCAGTCTGTAGCGGGCCGGTCCAGCTCAGGCCTCACTGAACCACGTGGGGAGGCTCCCCCTGTCCTGGGTGACCGCTCTAGGAGGGCCCAGACCCCAACACTCCCGTCTGCCTCCTCCAGCCACCAGGACCTCTGGCAGCTGCCGGTGGGTTGGGGCGTGGGGACCAGCTAGGTTAGCAGCCCCGGGTGAGCCTCAGCGCAGCCTCGTAGGTGACGAAGACCACCATGTTGACCGGGAAGGCGCGGCAGCAGTTCAGAGTCAGCCCCTTGAAGAGCACCCGCGGCCCCTCCTCGCGCACGCTGCTCACCAGGCAGTGCAGGAGGCCCCGGTAGCGCTGCCGGCCCTGCCCATCCGCCTGCAGGCGCGACTTGATCACGTCCATGGGGGTGGCCACGGCCCAGGCCAGGACCCCTGCACAGCCACCGGCCACCAGCACACCCGAGACAGCTGCAGGAGAGACCCGCGCGGCCTTGATGCGGGCGGGCTGGGCCCCTGAGGAGGGCCGGCAGGAGGGCGGGGAGCACGCGGGGCCTAAAGGAGCCCTCCACCTACCTGACTTGTCCAAGGCCACCGAGCGGGCTGGCCCCGACCCTGGGGAGGGCTCTGAGGGCCTGCCCACAAGCCGCCTCCACGCCGCCTCTCCCGGTCTCAGCGCCCCTTCCCACTCACCTGGCCGGCTGTGGCCCGCGGGGGTGAGCCACTCAGAGAGGATGGCGTAGGAGAGGAAGTAGGTGGCAAAGGAGTGGCCGTCCCGGAAGAGCAGGGCCGAGCTGCCCTTGTAGAGGCCGCGCAGCCCCTCCTCGCGGGCCACCGTGGCCAGGCAGTGTAGTGGCCCGCGGTATCTGGGCCCAGGCCGTGGGCTTGCAGGGGACGCTGGACACACAGGGAGCCCGGCTACAGGCCACGAGGCTGAGGGCCGCCGCTGCTGGAGCTGCGTCTGCATCTGCGTCTGCAGGCGGATCTTGGCCACCTCGGTGGGCGAGGTAAGGAACACCTGGCGCAGGCGGAGGAGGGGGCTGAGGTGGTGCCAGCAGCCCTGCCCCCACACCCCTGGCCTCCCGCCCGCCTCACGGTGCCCATGGAGGTGTCAGAATCCCAAAAAGTGCCAGGCTGGGCAAAGGGCTGTGAGGGAACGGGGTTCAAAGCCACCCCGTCCCCCAAGCCAATGCCCAGCAGCACAGCTCCGCGCAGCAGGAGCTGAGCGTCTGACTCGCGGTGAATGCGCTCAGAGCATGAGTCACGTGCAAGAGCTCCTAGCACTGACGTATTTAACGCAAGCCCATCAGCATCAGTTTAATGGCACACACGTGTGACATGGGCCCTCGCTCACATTGAGTGGCCAAGGAAACTGGCAAGTCCCAGGGTTCACACCAGTCAGTCTGTGCTGGGGCTTCACTCGCTTGACCTCACTTAGGCCTCACCACCCCCTCACTGAGAACCAGGAGACAAGGCCCCGACGCACCCCAAGCCCTTCAGTGTCCCAGTCTCCAGAGTCCCGACCTCTGCCCAGTCTCTGCCCTCACCAGGCCTCAGTTTCCCTGCCTGCCAGGCCTGGAGGTGCAGTCCCTGCTTCCCTGCGCCCCGGGGCCCCACTCACACGGACAAGGCCGGAGGCGAATCCCGAGAGCGTGATGTCAGCCTTAGTGGGCTTGGCGTCAGCGCTGCCATACCGGAAGCGGCATATGTACGCCAGGCAGTGGCAGTAGGTGCCAAAGGACACGGACGAGACCAGGGACACCGTGCACACGGGCAGTGAGAGGCCCCGGTAGAAGCCCCACACCTGGTGGAGGCGGGAGGAGAGTCAGGCCAGAGGCCATCCAGGAGGAGGGGCCGCCCAGAGTTGCTGGCTCAGGGGGAGGAAGCTGGGCTACCCCTGCTCCCCATGCAGGCCTAGGCCTCCATACCCCAGCTGTAAATAGGAATCAGAGCCCTGGACTTTGAGGATGTGGGGGCCAGGGGGCGCTGGTGTGAGGAGCCGCGTGCTGCTCTTTGGCCTGTCTCCTGCCTCTCTGAGCCCCAAGTTCTCTTTGGTGCTTGTCCCTGAGCCCCTCCTCTGCATGCATCTCTGAGCACACCCTGGGGCCTGACAACTCCACCCAGCACTGCTTTCCGTGGGTGCCTAGCCTGAGGGCACAGATGCAGACGCACAGATGCCACCTGACCACATGTGGCTCCTCTCCAGGGCCAGGGCCTGGTGCCCAGCACACCCCATGTGCCCGAAGGCCCAGCTCCCATCCACACAGGAATTAGCAGGGTGGCGCAATCATTCACACGTGGAAGGTGAGAGGATGAGGCTGGGCCAGGTGTTGACCAGTAAGTCAGTGGCCAACCTGAGGTCAGAGGCCCGGACATCCCCTGCCAGTTAACGGGCCCCCGACCTACCCGCTCCCGGCGATATGTATCCTGGATGCAATGCCAGATGCCCGTGAACTTGGGCTCCGTCTGGATCCTGACCTGCGGAAGAAGTGGACTTCAGGCAGGGGTGGCTCCAGGTCTAGGGCAAGGTCCACAGGTAGGGCTGGGAGCGGGGAGTAAAACCGACCCCTTCACAGCCAAGCTGATTTGCAGGCTGAGCAGAAACCACGAGCCCCATCTCGGGTGGGAAGGCTGAGGCCTGGGGGGAGCACTAAAGAGTCCCAAGCACCCCAGGAGCACTGGCTCTGGTTAGCCTGCCAGAAAGGTCTTCGTGGGTGGAGTGAGGAGACTCAGGGCGACCTCGGCCCAGGCTGGGGCCTTGGGGTGGGCAGCGGGGCCTGGCTTTTGCCGCACCTTCACCGTGTCCAGGGGGTAGCCCACAGCAACTCCGCAGCCCCCTGGAAGGCAAGCGGAAAAGTGGGTGAGGGGAGGGGCAGGAGGAAGGAGCCCAAGGGCAACCCCGGGGAGAGGAGACCGGGGCCCGTTCGGCCTGTCTGCTCCGCGCTCATCCATCCGAGGGTGACCCCTGCTCCGCAGGCAAGGAAACCAGGGCTCGGGGGGTGCAGCGACCTCTGCCTTCTCTGAGTCTTGGCCCTGTGCTGCCTGTCCTGGAGGCCGCTGGAGGGGTGCTTGGGGAGAGCTGCCCCCCGCAGGTGGCTGGCCTTGCCGCCTCAGTGCGTGAGGAGCCCGCCTTTCAGCCGCAGTGCGGGGGAAGAGGGCGGCACAGCCCAGGCACAGGCCGGGAGCGGGCGGCCCAGGGCTCTGGGAAGGGCTGCCGGGAACCGTCTACATGGGCAGAGCAGGCACAAGTGTGGACCAGGGTGCTCTGCCCACGCCAAGGGACCGGGTGCCCCATCCTGTTCCCTCCTCCCTGCTGGACACCAGGGCCTCACCTTCTGCGCCCCCTGGGCTGCCAGGGAGAGTAGCCAGGCCTGGGGTGTCACCCAGGGCGGGGCTAAGAGCCCTCTGAGGACAGCGGGGCTCCGGAGCCAGTTACTCGCATCCCAGGGCCCGACTCAACACGCGTGAAGGAAACGGCAAAGGGAATGGACGCAAGCGAGCGGGGGACGCAGCCAAGGGCTGGCTGTGACGAGGCAGCTGGCCCGGACACGTGTCGGGCAGAGCCCCTGTCAGCGGCTCAGCTGCCGTCGATGCCCCGGGGCCAGAGGCCCCGAGGACATGACCCAGGCCCAGGCAGGCAGGCCGTCCTGCCCAGGCCGCCCGGGCCCCGCCGCCCCACCTGGCTGTGTGGCCGTCGGCAGGTGCAGCCCTCCTCTGGGCCTGCTGAGGTCCAGGGCAGCCGCTGGCCTCGGCCTGGTGTATAGGGGGCCCGGGTGGCTCTTGGAAAGCCCGCCAGCGAGGGCAGCCAGTGGGCGCCCCCTCCCTCGTCGGAGAACACCCCTGCGCGCCGAGGTGCTGGGTTCAGCCCACGGCTGTTTCGCAAGTGAGGCCAAGGCCGCCGCTCCCAAAATAGCCCCGCAGTCCCTGACCCAAGGGCCGGTGACCTCTCGGGATCCTCTTTCGCAATCTTTCCCCAGAAAGAAAACAGTTTCGGGGGCCCGAGAGGTCAGGGTTCACGGCCCGATGGCCCCCGCTCCACCACCCCTTCCAGCTCGCAGGCCCTGACTCCTCCCTCCCCGCCCTCTCCCAGGCCGGCGGCTTCCCTCCAGGCCTCTCCTTCCCGTCCCTGCCTTCCTGACTCCACCTGGCTCAGGGGAGACTGCCCTCTGCTCCCCAAAGCAGCCCTCACCCCTCAACCCGCCCCCTTGACCTCCCTGGTCAGTGTGGGCTCACCCCACCTCCGCCTCCTGCAGGCCCCCGTCTCCAGGAAGCCTCTCTCTCCAGGACCCATGGCCCCCAAAGTCCTCGCCACTTCCCGGGGGGCTTCTCAACCCCCGCTACAGCTGAAGTCTACCCCCTGGGCAGAGCGCCCCCGCGCCCCCAGGCACCCAGGCCTACACTATAGGTCTGTCACCTCCAATGGCTCCAGCAATAAAATCCATGGACAGCGTGGGAGTGGGGAAAGCCTTGGGGTTCTGCCTGCCTGGGAGCGGAGCCGTCTGGTGCCACCGCAGGGGCGGCCTCCACAGCTCCCAGGCCGCTCCACTGAGACCTTAAATACCTGCAGTGGGGGCCGGGACAGGAGGCAGGCGCCTGCTGACCGCTGGCCCCTGGGAAGCAGGCAGGTCAAGGCCCACACCCCGGCGCAGGGCAGCTGGACTGCCTCCCACCCCACCCCCAAAGGACCCTTGTCCCAGTGTGCTGGGGACCCAGGTGTGGGAAGCGAGAGGTCACTGTCCCCACGGTGCCCACAGGGCTGGCCCAGAGTCCTCTGGGGAAGTCCAGAGATGGGCTGGGACTCCAGCCTTCAGAGCCCAGGCGCAGCCCTCCTCTGAGACCTCGACTGCTCTGGAAGGCTCTGGCCCAGGGAACTGCCTCACTTAGTCATTCAACAAACGCTATCTGAGCCGGGCTGCCCTGGAGCAAGTAAGCCTCACTCGTCTGTCTCCTGGAGCTCCAGTTGTCAGGGGGAGGAGGAGCCATGGGTCATCGGTAGCTGAGGCTGGCAGATCCCCCCTGGGAGCAGCACAAAACCCAGTCACAGCCCAGAGCTGGTCCATGCCCTTCCCACCTCAGTCCCCGCTGTGCCTCCCTGCCCCCGGGTCTCGGCCAGGTCTGCCTCCCCCGAGTTCCCAGCACCCAGCCAGGCTGAGCGAGAGGAGCACAGCCTGCGGGACCCCGTGGTGCCCAGGGTGCCCCCGGAGGAGAAACCTGCAGTAACACGCCACTCCCACCTGCTGGACACCCTCGACCATCTTGAAAAAGCAGGAACCCTGGGCCATGCACCCCACTTGACAGCTTCCCCAGCACCCCTCCTGCAGACTCCCGGCAGGGAGGCGGGGCTGATGGTTCCCACTTTACAGGTGGACACTCAGGATGTCCAAATGGGCCTCATCCGGGCCTGGAGGGCAGGGCCAGCTCTGACCTCCAGACACCGGGACGACCAGCCCCCGTGATGCCCCGGCCTGGCCTTCCCGGTCACACCCAGGGGACTCAGCCCGCACCCGGAAGGGGCGGTCATGGGGACGCTGACACTCAGGGAGGCAGCGCTCTGGCCCATGTGTCCCACTGACCGGATGCTGGCAGGGCCCGGGGAGGGACAGGTACGGTGGCCTGTGTGGGGAGCCCTCGGGCAGGGCCGGGAGCTGCGTCTTCCTGTCCTCTGTGGGCAGACCCGCGGCTGCCTAGAACAGGCCAGTGCTGACAGAGGACGGGCTGGCCCCGCCCGCCAGCTGTTGTGCGATGAAGGGGGCACAGGGTGGGCAGGGGCAGCCGCCACCACAGGGGGCAAAGGGCAGGACGTGACCCATGCGAGGCCAGTCCTCATCCAGCCTATCCTGGTGTTTAGAGAAATACTGCTCGGTGTCTGGCTAGGAGCCAGGCGGCCTGGTTCAAACCCCAGCTCTGCCGTTCATCCCAGTTCCTGAGACCTTGGGCAGGGCCCCGACTTCTCTGTGCCTCCAGCTCTGCTTCCACAAACGGAGATAGTACCTGCGCACGTCTGTGGCCATTCAGAGCAAGACCCAGGGAATGTCCCTGTGGGAGCAGTCGGCCATATGCTAAGGTTACATTAACAGGAGCAGAGGGTGCAGAAAGGAGGTGATAGACCTGTTCTGAGCAGGGCAAACACAGGACTGGGTTTCAGTTGAAGCTGCTGTACTCAAAAGACCAGTACCTTAGGTAAAGAGGGCGCTTGAAGACTGTTGCCTGAGAGGATGAGGAACAATTTAATCTCATGGGTGCTGGGGCCTCCCTGGTGGCGCAAGGGGTTGAAATGCAACCTAAGAAGCTGTCTGCAGCCACTGCAGCACGAGCTCAATCCCCGGCCGGCCAGGGAGAACCCACATGGCGCAGCAGACCTCTCCCGACTTGCCCGCTGCTCCCCTCAGCAGTTTATGTCAGTACATCTGCCTGTTCTGCTCCCTGCTCTGTCTCTGGGTGGATCCTCTCACCCACCCCCCCACACCTCTGACCTGTACCCCAGTTCTTGTATGCATAAATAAATAAATCTTTAAAAATATATATATCTCATGTTTGCTGCAGACTGTCCAGTGCTCCACCTCTTGGCACCCCAAAAGGAATCTGGGAGTTGCCCTGGACACCTTCCCCCCTGTGCCCCACATTCAGGGAGGCACCCAGTCCTTCAATCAATGCTCTGAAGCTCATGTTCAGATGCAGTCTCACTACCCGTGTGCATAGCCCAAGGGGCACTGGACAAGTTTCCCCTGGACAGCAGCCTGCCCCGTCCACGCCCCCACTCACGCAGCAAACACTTGCCGTGTGCCTGACACTGCCTGGCTCCGGGGCCCCACCTGCAGCTGGGGAAGCCAGAGGCCCCGCTCTGTGAGCCCACGTCCTAGGAGGGAGACAGACGACCAACAGATAAACAACCAAAATACAGCCTGCCAGAGGCAGCAGGTGCCAAGGAGAGGAGCAGAGGCGTCAAGGAGCAGGGAGCGCCGCATGGCGGGGAGTTAGGGGGGCCACGCCCAACACACGGTGGTCTCCAGCTGCTGCAGCCAAGTCTCACCGGCCCTTTGTCTCCAAGCACGACCACCCATGCCTTAGCCTTCCCTGTGGCAGGAACAGAAAACCGCCCTCCTGGGGGGCTCCTCTGCGCAGGTCTAAGCGTCACCCCCAGCGGGAGCCTGGAAAGGCTGAGTGAATAAACGGGTGAGGGTGAACAGACAGACGGACAGACGGGAGGGCAGCTGGGGCTATAAGGCTGGATGGACGATGGAGAGATGGGTGGAGGCTGTGGAAGGATGGACAGGTACACGGCGGGCTGAGTGGGCGATGGCCAGGGGGGCGGGCGGATGGATGAACACACGAAGGTGTGAACGAAGGGCCAGGGCAGGCCCTGCACACTCTGGAGCAGGTCCTGGCGGAGCCGGCTGGGGCAGCCCCGCGTGGCTTGAGGAGAGCTCAGGCCGGGCACGCTCAGCCTGCCAGTTCCTTCTCCGCGCTGTGTGGCCTTGGGCCAATGGTGCGACCTCTCTGATTTCTCCAACAAGCAACGAACCTCGGATTTTCCGTGCAAGGTAGCAGGCAAGCCGGGGATGCCACCAGGGCCACCCGGCCTCAAGGGTAGGGTTTCTCTTCTTGGCAGTGAATTCTAGCTCCTCTGCCTATGACCAGAGTCCACGGGGTGAGCCCCACTCGGCCCACAGGAGGAAGTCAGGCGTCTCCAGGGGAGACAGGCTCCCCAGGAACAACCAGCAGGAGAGGGTGCACCATGGGGGACAGGGGACTTTCTGAGGATTCTCTGGGGGCTCCCTAAAATGCATTTCTGCATTTGATAACAAACAGGATAATAACAGTCACTAGAAAATAAATCCAGCCCAGAGGCAAAAGCGGCCCAGACTGTGGGAGTCCCCCCCCACTCTCAGGACCAGGGGCCCTGCCCTCAGCAAATTCAGCCAAAGCAGTTTCTCTTTCGCTATTTGCTTCCTTATCACTGGGCCCCGATGCCTGGGCCCCACCTCGTTCCCAAGCTCCCCCACAGTACTGTGTGTGGCCACTGGCATGTGGCCAGCGTCTGGGTCAGGCCTGGGCCTCTGCGT